GTTAGCTATACAATCAGGCTTAGCAATCTTCGCAGCTGTGCGCAACATAGGTGGCTCCTGTCCGACATGAAAAGCAATCTCGTGGAGATGGACATCGGGGTGCTGAATGCAGCAATGGGTGCTTGTCCGCCTCTAAGACCGGTTGCACCCTCACTTCGTGTGGCTCCAGGATGAGGGGCGCCTGCTGTTGCCTCAGGTGGCGCTGCCCATGGTTTGGGACACCTGCAGTTCCAGCCTCAAAGCGTCTCAAGCCTTTGGGGCCGAGAGAACTACACCAGCCTACAGGCAGCAAGATGCGGCGCAAATACAGACACTCTTCGAAGCCAGGGAACCCAGTGGCGGGGCTCCGTTTCCCAGGGGTGGCATTGGGAACCACCACAACAGATTCCTGGTCGGGGATGCTCATCGCGCTTTTACAGGATGTCAAGTTTCTCCGCTTGCAGCCCGACGTTGTTACCTACACCCACGTCCTGGGGGCGCTGCGTCAGGCCGGAGTCTCTCTAGTACCGGTGAAGTACCAAGGATGTCTTAACTCGTCGCTGCTTGCAAGGCAGGTGACTGGGAGCAGGCGCTGGAGGCTCTAGATGAGGCGTCAGATCCTTATAGACCCCTTTTGCTGACTTTCTCGAGTTTGGCGTGAGTTCTCTTCTCGCAAGCCTGAGGCTCTCAGGGGGTCTTCAGCTGGGGCCTCGAAGTTATGCTTGTTTCCTCTTATGTAGGGGGGGGGTTTTGTTCCAAACAAGGGGTCCCTAGATTAGAACAGCCTTCTCATCGCTGGTGTGAATGGCCTGTGTTAGCGCCTTCCTTGGTTCGCCGGGCGCGAAGGCCGGATGCCCAACTCTACACCAACACCATCGCGGCCTGCGCGGCTGCTGCCAGCCATAGTCCTACTTGAATGGGAAGATATGAGCAGGTGCAGATTGGGCAGAGTTATCGTTTCATTTAGAAACATTCGTGTACATAACTAATATATCAGAGATGTATAAGCAGAGTTTAGACTACTTTTGGGGTTTCTTCAATGGCCCAGTCGCTCCGTGAATTCTGCGTCAGAGGTTGGGAAAGTGCCGTGTCTTTGCTTTCAGCTGCAAAGACCATCGGCAAGGCTCTCAGTACCGGCAACGGCACATCCCTTGTAAGAGTATGATTATTAAGCCTTTCATAATTGTGCAGGGGGCTGTCCCCGACAACCGGGCGCGCCCCGAACTGACAAGAAACAGGGTAAGGTTCCCCCCCCGGGGGGGGGGGGCCAACAAGGGGAACAAGAACAAGAAGCACCAACAGAACAACAAGAACTACAACGATAACATCGTCAACAAGAAGTATAATGCAATAACATGCAATAACAACAAACAATATCAGCAACATCAACAACAACAGCAATAACAACGCCGGCACCAGGAACAACCACAGCAACAACCACAGCAGCAGTAACAAGGGGAGCAAGAACAACAATTGGAACACTAGCAAGAACAACTTGGACGACAGAAACAACAGCAGCAACAGGAACAGCACAGCAACGCAGCACCAACCACAACGACGACGACCACGACCACGACGACGACGAGGACGACGACGACGACGACGACCACGACGTCGAGGACGACGACGACGACGACGACGACGACGACGACGACGACGACGACGACATCAGCATGAGTTAAAAGTTGATGGGCCTTCGATGTTTGGTGATTGTAAGCTATGTATTCGAAGCCTAGCTATGCATATTTAGTCTGTGCGTTCCACAGCGGCTGGCCAGCTCCAACTGAACAGTAACAAACACTACGTACATTGACTTCATGAACCCAACTTGTATAGAAAACAATTGATGTTGCGAATTTACCCTAGTTCAAACTGTAAATCGCTTCACTGATGTGGTTAATGTGTTTGGAGGTGAGCCAGTTCAACCCCTTACATGATCATCCAGCCCGTTCAAATGACATCATGACGCAGTGGCCTTTAGACCCATCATGGGGAAAAGCGGGATCTCAGCCCCCAAATAGAGACGCTTCCTAGCCCTCTTCACATTGAATGTCTTGCTATTGGGGACGGGAGGTAGGCTGCCGCTTGTGTAAAAGCAAACCCAGCTTTCCGGCTTGAGATGTCTACGCTAAATGGCAACTATACGCCAGCAGAGGCCCAAAACCGAGAACCAAAAACACAACCCCCCCCCGGAGAGAGCATCAGAACAAAACAACAAAAAGGCAAAGAACCAAGAAAAGCCAAATCAAGAAACACAACAACCAGAACCACAAAGAACAACCACAAAACACCAAACAACCAAAATAGCAGGCCTAAAAACCAAAAAGCTAAAGCCAACAAATCTTGCTTTACAAACAAACAAAAACCAACAGAATACCAAAAACCAACAGAATACCAAGAAACAGTTCAAAAAACAAGAAGCCAGAAAACGAAGCGAGTTCAGAGATTCTCTCTGGGGCTTGTGTTTGGGGTTTCGGTTTGAGGGCCGCTGGCCCGGAGAGATCGGTACCCTAAACCCTGTACTTTAAAACCTTAAAACCCACAGCCCTAAACCCAAAAGCCTCAAGACCCTTAGCCCTCAAGAATGCAAACCCACAAAATCTTGAAAACCCTTAACCCTAGAACCCTAAGCCCTAAAGCCCTCAAACCTTGAGACCCCTGAACCCCAAGCCCTAAGCCTAGACCCTAAAACCCCAAAGTTGACCGTCCCAGGTCGGTCAGAGTACCACTGGAGCTCGACCATCACAGCATGCCGGATGCTTTGGACGGTGTCTTCTGGCTGGCTCTTAGCAGGGAATGGGGGAATGAGGTACGCTATATATGGTCCCTTAAAGGGTATATATAGGGCCCTCATCCCCCCATTCCCTACTAAGAACCCAGGGGTCTTGGTGGTGAGAGCTGCTGAAGATGGTCTGAAGAGGTGCCGATGCCACGCAGTGGCAGCACGCCCAGACCTCGGAGTCGTCATGTTTTCGTCATGGCCTCGAATTGCTACCTGCACTCCCTCACGAGGCGATCCGATTGGGTCAAGAGATGGCCGACGAGATTCCGGCATGTCGGCAAGCTCCACGCTAGTGGCCCTAGACCCTAAACCTTTAAACCCCCTAAACCCTAAACCCTAAACCCTCAACCCTAAACCCTAAACCCTAAGCCCTAAACCCCAATAAGGCACCCCTAATCTCGGAAACTCCACCCCCTTCCCCCCGTCCGTGAGCTAAGATGTGCACCTTGAACCGAAATGTCACGCCAGATCGGCTTGAGGGCAAGCGATGCCAGCTTCACGGCTTTGATGAGTGCCTACATCCACGGGGGCCGGTGGCAGCATTCCCTTGAGACATCCTCTTAGCATCTGCCGCTGGTTACTTCTAGTTAGATGCGGAGTCGGAAGGGATACAATGGCCGAGGCTGCTGAACCAGATGCAGCTGAAAGGCGTGCCGCCGGGGACCTAGGGAGCCTAAGCGCGCGTGTCAGGTCGCACCTCACGGCATGTGCCAGTAATTGTCCGCTGCCAGCCGTACAAGGCCAAACTTTGTCACCCTGACTTCAGTGCCGAACGCTCGGCGCATGTCTGCCTCTGCGCCGTTGTCTGCCTCAGCTATGTATGCAAGAATCCGTGCCCTCCGAGGATCAAGGCGTGCCTTACCACCGGCAACTGGGCCCGGCCGCCTGAGGATTCTCGAGAAGCCTAATGGCCCGATGTGTACGCATCGTTCCTATGTGCAGCTCCCTCGCTCCAGCCCCCAGCCCTTTGGGCTGCTCAGGTCTTTGCGATGCACTGGAAGAACATTTTGGCCCGGCTAGGTGCCTTGCATGGCCATGCCGTAAGGGTGATTGTTTCCAAGCTCGGCCTTTTTGGCCTCTGAGTTGGGATGTTCACCCTTTTTCTGACAGTCCTTTTTGTAAAGATTCTGGTACCCCCCCCCTATTCTCATCCCTATTGAGGACTGTGAGCATAAGGGGGAACATCCCAGCCTATGAGTGCAACCAGGTGTGGAGCCCTACTTCACCACTTACGTCTACCTGATCGCCCTCTGCGCCGAGGTCCAAACCCGCTCAGCCTGTCCGAAAGCCTCCACCCCAAAACCCCAACACCCTGTAAACCCTGAACCCTAAACCCTAAACCCCAAACCCTAAACCCTAAACCCTAAACCCTAAACCCTAAACCCTAAACCGTAAACCCCTAAATCCTTAACCCTAAGCAACCCGAGCTCTCCCAAAAAAAGAAGAAGAAACAGCGCGCTCTGGGAGGCCGGGCAGTGGACTTGGGTGCAGTACTTGCTGGAGGAGAGCTGCGCAAGGTTTCCCAATGCGGAGAATTTCGACCAGCGCCAGGCGCCAATCGGTCGTTCTGGGACCTGGCTGGTTTCTTAGTAGGGTATTGGGGGAATGTGAGGTACCCTATATAAATTCCTTAAAGGGTAGATATCGGGCCCTCAGTCCCCCATTCCCTGCTAAGAACCAGGGGGTGGAGCTGCTTCGCACGTGGAGATGGGACCTTTCTTTCCGCGATTCGCGGTAAGAATCACAGCATGAGGCAGATCATTTCCAGGTCGAGTTTCCCAATGCATAGACCATCATGGCCCATGCACACATCAACGCCACATCACGCGCCTCCCAGCTGAGCAGCCGTTGTATAACCTTGAAAGCCAGTAGACGATAATTCTGGGCTACAGTTCCTACTTTGGGGGGTATAATAGCCTCTTATTTTGGGCAACCAGGCGTTTCAGGTATACCCAAGTGCGACCAAGTTGTGAGCACAAGACATGCCGACACCACGGAGCATGTGGCCGCAATGATGTCCGATCGGCGAGGCCGCCGCGTCCCATGTTCTTGCTGATTTTCCATGTAGGAACCCTGGTTTAGGGTTTGGAGTTTAGGGTTTAGGGTTTAGGGTTTAGTTGCTTGTGACCTGAAGCTGCTGAAAGCAAGCCTTTGTCGATCACACGGACTGTGTTGAGCACCCCCCGAACTGAATAACTAAACCCTGAGCCCTACCTGCGGCTAGGGGTCCGACGAACTAATGCGTCGACATCGCAGTGCTTCACCTGGTACTGCTCCAGGACGCTGCATGCTTGAACGCTAGACAGCTAACCCTGGATCGCAAGCCTTAATGCAGTCCATTACCTACACCATGCTTTCCTTCCGTGGCAGTGTGGAGGTATCCGGGGTGGCATGCTATCTTTGTTGGGCCTGTAATAGTATTAACACATGGTGTGAATTTAATGCACGCCGTGTGAATAGCAATAATGGTATGAAAGGGGCCCGCATTAAGTTAGCATGAGCATTGAGCATATAAGGCTTTTGAGCCACACGAGCCTAATAGGGTTTTGTGCGGCATTCCTTTCTTCCATTTCGCCGCACAGAAATTCTATGCCTCTTTCCTTTTCCGATTCATGCGCGAGCTTATGATCATACTAATGCAGTGAGTGAACAGATGAGCAGGAAATCCACCATTGACAAGTTACCGCATGATAGGACTCATTTAAACGCCCCAACAAGGAACACTTGTTTGAATGGCGGCTTTTATGGGTCTTCTGATGCACGCCGAAGGCTTGAGTCCTACATCCAAGTTCTCAGAGTCTTACAGACGCTTCCTTCACGCCTCAGTAACAATATAATTTCGTGCGCTCACTTTCAAATGAATCTTTTTGTGGAGTGTAGCTTGTTTTCACAACCAGGACAGCATTTTCACAGTTTATGATGTACTCGCCGCGGCCGGACCGCACAAGGAAAGGTCCCAAGTTCTGGAGTCAGAGAAAAGGTTTAGGGTTTAGGGTTTAAAGTTTAGGGTCGATTAGGGTTTGGGGTTTAGAGGTTGGCGAGAGGCCCCAGGGACTCCCAGGAGGTGCCAAGGAAACAGCCCCTTCCCCTGCTAGGGGCAGGGACTTCCTCGGGAAGCTTCATAAGGGGCCTGCAAGGGGTAGAAAGCCCCTCCAAACGTTGAGATCGTTGGGAGTCCCAACAAGGCCCTAGACAGATTCAGGGGCTTCCCTAAACCCTAAACCCTAAACCCTAAACCCCAAACCCTAAACCCTAAACCCTACACCTTAAACCCTAAACCCTTAACCGAGGGGGGAAAGATGTTGGGCAGGCGTGGTGACGACGGGAGCTCGAGGAGAAGTGTGGAGGGCCGTTGCTCTTCAGGTCTGGAGGGTTCTGGGGCTTTTTAATTGGGTTTAGGGTCAGGGGTTAGGGTTGGGTTTAGGGTTCGGGGGGGGGTTGTGGTTTAGGGTTAGGGTATTCAGGGATTGAGGGTTTTAGGCGTTTAGGGGTTTCGCCCGTGGCGGAGGCACATTTGCTGGGCAAGGATGCCCGCCCACAAGCTCGAAGTGCTTCTGCCCGGCGGCGGCAGGCGCCAACGGCTTCCCGAAAAGCCGAAGCCCTAAACCCTAAACCCCAAACCCCTAAACCCTAAACCCTAAAACCCTAAACTCGGGGGTTTTTCGGGTTAAAGGACCCCCTAGTTCAGAACAGCCCCGCGAATCCTAAGCACCCTAGACCAAAAAGCGGTCCTTCAGTGACTGGAAGTCCTAGAAAGCCCTTAGAAAGTTTCTAAGCCATCATCGAAACCCTGAAAGCTCTGCGACCACAAGCTTCAAGGTCTGAATTCCGCAGCCCTGGAAGTTCTAAACCGTGAATCCTAAATGCCAAACCCTGTTGAGCTCTTCTGAGCACTTCTGAGCCCTTCTGAGCCCTTCTGAGCGCTTTTGAACGCCACTGAGCTCCTGAACCCGGACTCCGCCCGTTCTCAGGACACTCCTCAGTTCGAAGCAGTGCACACCTCCAGGCCAGGGCGGTTTGGCAGAAGTGGTGGCTGCTTTCAGCGGAGGGTCCGCTTGTAACTTTTCTCATGATGAACCCCCACCCCCCCCCCAAAAGGGACCATTGTGGTACCAACCCTCCAAAAGTGCACTGGGCAAAGTCAAAGGGTTCGTGTAGCCCTTCCGCAGGAGTGCGCCTTGTCCGGGACCTCGTAGGGTCCCCAGCTTCAAGTTCGCCGAGGCGCCCTATCCTGCCACACCCAGAGCGTTCTAACAGTCGTCCCTGCGGTTTAGGGTTTAGGGGTGTACGTAGGGTTTAGGGTTTAGGGTTTAGGGTTTAGGGTTTAGGGTTTAGGGTTTAGGGTTTAGGGTGATATTGTAAAGGGGTCCGATGCGAGAAGGCAGCTGCAAGGGGGACCCTGATCCAGAACAACCTTTACATGCCGAGGACAAGCGGTTTTGGATTACGATGAGAAGCTGAAACGGCACGAGGCGCCGTATTTTGCATTGTTTCTCAGGAGATTGGATAGAGCTGCACCTAGGGTACGGTACCCCTAAAAATAGAAAGCCAAAAAACACCTTGGAAGACTCAGAAATCCGACAAAAAACCTACGCAAAAACCCTGAAAACCCTGAGAACCGCAAGGCCTCGCTGACGTTGGCGCAGCGCTTGGGCTTGGTGGCAAAGCCCGCGCAGCCGCTGACACACGAGCAGCCACCCCAGCTCTTGGGCTTTAGGGCCTGTAGGGTTTAGGGTTTGGGGTTTAGGGTTTAGGGTTTAGGGTTTGGGGTAACTGTTCTTTTCTACCTGTACTTATGACCATATTAGGGCACTTAAGGGGCGTATAAGTGGGTTGCAAGTACAGTTTTAGTTGGTTAATAAGTACCATGAACCTCCAAGTGGGCAAGGGTGGAAGTACAGCGAGGTACACAGGTTCTTCTGTACCCGCCGCTCGTTTTTGCAGAACGCTTCCTCGAGCCAAGTGCCAAGGCAGTGGGAGCAGGTGAAACATGCCTCAGACTCCCGGCAAGACAGCGAAGTCCCCTGCAGCATCTGTCGGCTCCTCAAATCCCCAAAACCCTAAACCCCAAACCCGAAACCCTAAACCCTAAGACTGAGGCCTTGAAGACTTTCGGACGAGGCCGCAAGTGATTCTCAGCCGGAGGCCTAGAGCAACGCGCTTTTTTGAGAGAACTCGATGGTGCTCTTATCGATTCGATCACAATTTCAAGCACTTCAAGACCTTCCCCAGATCTGTGCAGGTTGCAGCCACGTCTTCCATGGAGAGCCGGGGGCTCACAGACTCCACGTAGCATGTACTTGCAGGTTCATGGGTAGTTATAAGTTGGGGTATAAGTGTGGCAACTAGACTTTCAACCCTACTTCGAGTACTTAGAACGCTAATCATAACTACCCATGAACCTCCAAGTAGGGCCATGTCTATCCCTTTTGGGGATTTTTTGTTTTTGTTCATACAAAACCCATTTGAATATTAAACATACTATTTTTGTTAAGGTTCTAAGGGGAGTAGGGCCACGATGTGTTGCCCTGCGCAGCTGCGCTCAAGGTGCCTGCGCAGCTTTGAGCGTTTCTCGGGCAAACGGTACTGTCCACTGTGTCGGGAGCCCAAACCACCCTGTTACTGTAGGGCCTCCAAGGATGGGTTGTTAGGCCCTAATAATCCCTTAAAAGGCCCTTCACGGGGTTCATATATGGGGATTAGAAGGCCTAATAGCCCATCCTGGTCTGTAGACACAAGGAAGTTGATAGACTCCGAAAGACCAGATCATAGCTCGAGGTCGATGTCCATATTTCGACGCGACAATTCATTACTCTGGGCTCATGGCCGCTCTCTCAGTGTCTCGCCTCAATCAGTGGCCACAAGATGCTGAGACACGAGGTTTGGCGAAAGAAGTGTGCCAGCAGGATTCAGCGCGCGTGGCGTGGCTACCGCAGCCGCGGGGAGCCCGCGCCTCTTCCAGCTGGGCAAGCCTTTGGACAAGCTGAGGTCTCAACGTCCCCCATCTCAAGCCAGAATCCAGCAAAACCCTCAGGTTGTTCTTGCAGCTTCGGCAAGTTCGCACCGAAGCCCCAACCTTGCGCCGACCTCGGGTCGCTGCTGGGGGGGGCACCTCGCTCGCTCGGATTCGCCGCGCGCTGCGCAGGCACCGGCGCTTCTGCGGGAAGGCCCTGAAGGCGCCCCACAAAACCCCAAACAGAACTTCATAACAAGGGGTTTTAAACGATGACTCTTCTTGCGATTCCGAATCTTAACGCTACGCGACCCACCTCGGCCGGGGTCGCTGTGTGCAGAAGCATGCAGAAGCAGTTCCCGGCAAGAAGTCTTAGGAAGGGGGGTGAGTGAGGGGGGTTCACAGGTCATAGTGGACTTGATGGTGGCTTGGTGTGACGGGTGTGGTGATCCAGGGACTTGGGAAGGGACTGCCGCAACACCGACTTTAAGAGGTACAGGGGCGGGGGGGAGGAGGGGCGGAGAAGGAGCGAAGTCCGAGTGATTTTGGTCAGCCCCAACCGCGCGCAAGTCGCTCGGCGGGATACCCATCCTGGGCAGAACGAACTCCTGCGGCCCGAAACCGCGGCGGATTGCTGATGACTGACTGCAAACGACTTGTTACTGATTAATCTGATTACTGATTCCATGTTTACATACTTCCTTACTTACTTACTTACTACCACTACCATCGTCAGGGGTTCAGGCCGGTCCTGCGATCCTGTGCCCCAGACTCCAAAACATGTCTCCAGGTCCATCAGTCAGGGCCCTCGAGGCTGCTTGTTAAGATGTGTTGCCCCCTTGCCTTTTTTTGGATCTTTGTGTGGAGGGGAGAACACATGCTCTGACTCTCACTCCGCATCCTCTGCTGCAGCTTTGAAGTCGGCTCTGATTGTTTTCTGCTACAGCACTCCCTTCGCTGGCTGCGTGACCTTACGCTTCAACCGCCGGTCACCCTCTACTGAGGTGGATCCATCGTGCTACAAGGTTCTAGGATGCCACAACATGCCACAACGTTGGGGCCGGAGTGTCGTCACGTGCAGACCGCTGGTGGACAGCCTTCGAGAACTTCACTGATCCACACTGGTTTTTGCCAGTTGTTGAACCGTCGCATGTGAACATCCTGACTTTTCCCGTCTTTCCTCAATCACATCTGAGCATCATCATGAGCACCTTTCTCCTCATTTTCCTCTCAAACCACACCTGTTCTGTTCATGTTCTCAACTTAGCATGCTGTGACACTGCCCATGAGGGCACACGTTTGTGATCAGGCGCTGGGAGGCAAGCTGGAGAAGGTTTGCGAGGACCGCCCCGTAATCTTGCTGCCCAATGCAGGCAGTCGGCATTCGGTATGCACAAATGGGAGGCACATGAAGATGCCCTCGATCGATTCCTCCAGGCCGGTATTTTCGTGACCCGGCACCTAAAGCCATCATGTGGCATCTAACTAGGAGCTCGATGGCAGTGTCGCAACCTCTTCTGCGCAGATCCGCTCTGAGCCCAGTGAACCTGCTGTGCTCGCGCAAGGCCGCGCTGTCTCATGTCCCGAGGTGATGGCTTGCGTGACTTTGAGCAGCTTCACCTAGGGCCTGGCCAAAGTGTAGGCCGAAGCATTTCACAGCCCGCTTGCTTTATCGCTTGTTCATCCAACACTTGGGAGGCCCGCTGGTTGAAGATGCGGCACAGGCCCAGCAGATCCCAGCAGGGTTCCTGGGAACCGGTGGCGTCTTCAAGCGCAGACGTGCAGGAAACAACACAGGATGTAGCCTCGTCGAGCTCTGATGCCCAAACAGAAGGCCATCAAGCTTGTCGGTGCTGTGTCTTTTCTTGCGTCTTTAGCTATCTCTTGGACTGTTTCCCTTTATACTAACAGTCCTTAATAGGGATTATAGCACCCCCTATGAGAATCCCGATGAAGGACTGTTAATACAAGGGGGAACATCCCAAGCGAGCTTTACTTTACGTTAGAGCACGGCCCTGCACCCAGGGAGGCAGCGCTGGGCCGCAGCGCGCCAGTCTGCGCTGAGCGTGCTGCCTACACCAAGTCGAACGCTTTCCTGCCTGAGGGTTCCCTGTGACATGAAGTGACCTTCAGGCCGAGGAGAAGAGGCCCGTGATCTCGATGTTCTGAGATAACTGGGGCGACCGGGGGGCGTCTCAGATGTCCGAAGCATCTCCGAAGCATCAGCAGCACTCAGAGGTGGATTGCCCCATCTGCTTCCAAGCGTGTGATTTGGTTGGCCGCGGAAGCAGGATGCCCAGCTCGTCGACACTTCTCGACTCGAGAATAGGGGAATTGTGCGTGATCCTTGGAAATGCACGAAGGTGACCGGGTGGAGTTGCTTTCTTGCTCTCATGCCTTTACCTCAGCATTGAACAAGCCACTTGAGAATCCCGAGTCGCATCGCTGCGGCCATTCCAAGCAGGTCTTTCACCGCTGCTGCCTGATGTCCTTCGAATCATTCCATGTCTTTGAGGCCCGACGGGTTGCATTCCGGCCTGTACGTACGTTGTCTGCATCTGTGAGGTTCACCTCTGCGGCGGGCTCAGAATGTCTCAGCTGCAGCAGGAGTGACAAACTCCAAGCCCTCAGCCTCATGTTCGCATCCAAGCACCCTGAAGCCCTTGAGCTCATGAAACTCATGTCGCTCGCGACGACCGAAGCAAAGAGGCATGGAGGAACTGCACAGACGTAGTCGGTTCGTAGTCGGTTCGCAGTCGGTTGGCGTTTCTTGATTGGCCCGTGTAGACCTCGGAAGCAGCGAGGCCCAGTCTGCCGGCAGTCTTACGAGCGCCGGCCGTGGAATCACCAGGAGGCCAGCAAGCGTCATGCAGACAACCCGAAGCCGCAACGCCCAGCCTCGAAGCCATCCTAGGCCCCAAGACACTAGCGATATCTGGCGAATTGTCCCCCAAAACCCCAAAAACCCTTAAACCCCTAAACCCCTGAGCCCTTTGGCGGCTGCAAGGGTGAAAGGCCGCCACGGCCACCGGGCCCACGGCAGCGTCCTGGTGCCGCAAAGCTCACGCAAGATCCCCCGCGTTGCCGCCCCAGCTCTTCTCAACGGGTTGGCTCGGATTCAAAGTGTCTTATAGCCCCCGGGCTCAAATCCTTTGAAACACCCCCCCCCCCCCCGACCCCTGCCCCCCAAGAAAAGAGCGTCGGAAACGCTTCGGTTGTGAATGGCATAATATGTGGCGTTGCTGAGGCGGAAGTCGTCCGTTGCCGCGACGTGGTGCCTCTGATTCCAGGTCGCAGATTGTAGCTGGATGTTAACAAGAAGCCTACAACAAGTTGCAATGATGGTTGATACCATGCAACCCTGTTTATGGCAGCTTAAGTTCCTCGACAAGGGCCCCAGGGAAGTCCGCAGAAGCAGTCCGTAGTCTTTGCAGCTGTGGTCGCCGTAATTACGATCCTGGAGGGTTTCAGAACACTTCAGAACACCTTCTGAGAGAGCCCACCAGGATGCGCTATGAGGCCTTATAACTACTTTAATCAACCCTATAAACGGGCCTCTTTCGGGGGTTATAGGGCATAATAGCCCATCCTGGCACGTGGTCATGCTCTCATGGCTTTGCCAGGCTTCCTGACTACAGAGTTCTCCGCGCAGCCAGATGAGCTGGTCCCTGCAAAGTAGTCGGGCCAAAGGGCCTCCGACAAAACAGGGCTTGGCCGCGAGCTTATCCAAAAAAGGCTGCCTGAAGAGCAATGGCGACGGCGCACACACACACACACACCTACACGTACAGCTACAGCTACAGCTACAGCTACACCTGCACCTGCACCTGCACCTACACCTACAACCTACACCTACAACCTACACCTACACCTACACATACACCTACACATACACATACACATACACGATCATGGAAATCTCCACGTTGAGAGCGCACTGTGCTGAGTCAACCTGGCAGTTCTACAACCTGGTGCACCTGAAGTGCCTCAAGTCGGGCGACTGCTCCCAAGCCCTCGATTTTTGGAAGGCGCTTGCCAAAAGCTGCTCCGGCGGGCTCCGGGCTGTCGGCATTGCTGCTCATTTTGGTCAGGACTGCCGTGAGGCTGGTGTCTCTTCCTGCAATGCCCTCCTGGCAACGTGCGAAGTGGCTGGCATCTCAGTTGGTCTGTGACACCATGTCTAGTGAGGTGCAAGTTTCGAACAGCCAGCTGCTGCACACACTAAGCCTCCAGCAGGCCATGGATTGGGATGAATGGGTTCGTGCCTGTGGCAAGCTCGTGTCTCAGGTACGCGTTGGCGGATCAACACGACGTGCAAACAATTTGATGCTTGAGACATGAGTGAGTGTCGGTGTCTGTGTCTTGTCCGGTCTCCGTATCTGTCTATGTCGGTCTTTGTCTGTCTTTGTCTGTCTCTGTCTGCTTGTCTCTGTCTGTCTGTCCGTGCCTCTGTCTGTGTCTCTCTGTCTTAGTCTCTGCCTCTATTTTTGTCTTCGTCTCTGTGCCCGTCTAGTTTGTTAACGTTTTGTTTACGCGTGCGGGCGCGCGCGCGCGCGCGCGCGCGGGTGTGTGTGTGTGTGTTTCAGTCAAGGCTTGGTCCCGCTGGCTGGGTGAGAGCTTTGACCTTAGCATTCAGGTGGAGAGCGATGCACGTTTTCTGCTAGATGTCCTGTTCCGCGTTCCTCCGCGGACCTCTTGGCTCGAAGACGTGTTTCGACCTGATACCGAACCCTTTGCTCAGATGCGGGTTGCACTGCGCGTGCGACCCGCCGATGTCTGTCCGTGGGCTTGTCGTGCTGCTGCTGGTCACATTCACGCAGGCCTCGCTGCGGAACGGTAGAAGGTTGACTACTGTACTTGTAGCAGCTAGCACTGACAAGCCTAAACCCTAAACCCTATAAACCCTAAACCCGATTGAAGTCTTGTCGCTCTGACTGGTAGGCTGAGACATGGACGAGGTGTGGTAAGCCGAGCTTGGAGGACCGGAGCAAGTTCCCGCAGTTTCCGCTAGTCAGCCGCCCAACTTTGATCTTGCGACAGGAGCCTTTTCCTGGAGTTTCCCTCCTTCAGGTTGGACCAGCAGAAGTTGTGCGAATTCAGATCCTTGAATGCAGAAGTGAAGGGTTGAACGCAGAAACCCAACAACATTGTTGGATAGATTTGTGGGCCGCATGCTGCTCACAAGCAGTTGCTGTGTCAGGAAGCCGGAGAATGTTTCGATGTATGTTCGGGACAGCAGCAGGCCTCCGCAGGACGGGCAAGCAGCTTAGTGTGCCTTGCTGTGCCTTCTTTCTGGGGCCAGAACCCACTGAACTCGCAACATGTTGCATACTCGAGAAGGGCGCTGACAGTGACCCTTTCGCTCTGCATGTCCCCTGCTTCCACCTTGGCACCTTGGGTGCTGCCATGAACGTGCATTTGCAGAAAGCCACCTTGCCTGCCAGGCAGGGCGCATTGAACCCTGAAAAGGCCTCAACCGTAACCCCCCAAAAAGCTGCCTTAGACTCTTAGACCAGTGAGTGAGAAAGGAGACCTGGAGTGACGCTTCTGCCTTCGTGCAGCTGTGCCGGGACTTGGTCAACCAACCCCAGGTCACGCCGGGTGAGGTCTCAGGCACAGACAGGGTCCACAGAGCTTTGGGTCGAGGGGTTTAGTAGGGTTTTGTAGGGTTTAGTAGGGTTTAGGGTTCAGGGTTTAGGGTTCCAGGATGTTGCAAGAGTCTAAGAAGGTCTTGAGGTCGTCTTGTTTGCTTGTTTGTTTCTTCTGTTTCAGGGACGTGCGACGGCCCACGTTCACCCGTGTCTATCGTGTAGCAGGTTTCGTGACTGCATCACTTGGTATATATCTTCGGCAAATGTCGACTGTCCCTGAAGATTAGAGGTTCTACGGCAGTAAGCCTGGCAATGCCTAAGAGGAGACTTCAGCCGGAGCAGGGAGGGGCAGGGAGGTTGCGCAACAATGGAGAGAGTTGTTTTCATCAAGCTGCAACATGCTTGTTGTTTGTGTTGCAAGACTACTGGTTCAAGAACTTCAATTCATATTAAGTCGAACACAGAGTTTCTTTCAGTGCATGCACACCGCACCATACCATGCCATGCCATGCCATGCCATAACATGATGCAATCCGTACATGCATGCATGGGTACTGCATGCATACATACTTGCATATATATATATATACACTTTTTCATAAGCCATCATGTTCTGGCAGTGCGGTACTTCGTAATACAAAGCAGTAACAACAGTCCCGAGTTGTTGAACTTGTGGCCAACTGGTTTGATCACAGTACGTAACATCTGCAAAACAATGTTAAGCCAGCCACCTTGTTTCGTTGGAGAAGTAAACGATGGGCAAACATCCTTCAGGTGTAGACATATCTGGGGGCCGAATGGTTCCGTCTTTGCTGATTAAGCCACATGATGTTGTATGAAGTGAACAGTAGACATGCTAGCTTGCCTAACTAGAGCGTGGGAGCCCCAGAATTCAAGCGTGCATTTCTCCTGGAGAAGAAGGACGGAGCACAACACTATCAGGTGCTAAAAACAGATTCCCTGAACCCCTAAACCCGAAGCCCTAAACCCCTAGACCCTTCGCGATGCTCGTCTGCTCTCCGCCTCAGGGGTGATCATGCTGATCGGCATCGTCATTGCCTGCCTGTTCTGGGCTCCCCCCATGTCATCGCCGACACTGGAGAAGGAGAAGCCTAAACCGCGGACCCTAAACCCTAAACCCTCAACCCGAAGCCCTAAACCCTACGCCCTAAACCCCAAACCCTAAAACCTCACCCCTAAAGTTGACTTGCATCCCTGGCTCTCTCAACCCGGCTTGATGCGCGCAGCCCAAGGACGCAGTGCCCGAGATTTTGCCGCCAGTCACGGACAAGGACCGCTGGACAAAGCAAGGGGTTTAGGGTTTAGGGTTTAGGGTTCAGGGTTTTGGGATTTGGGTTCAGGGCTTTGGGGTTAGGGGCTTAGGGTTTAGGGGGTAGGGTTCAAGGGTTTAAGGGCTTAACGGTTGAACGGATAACGGGTTCACCGTTCTTTGGTGGCATAATTCCGACATCCCCCTCCTCTAGAATTCATCTTCGAACCCTCCCAACCCTTAATGCTAAACCAACTCCAACCGTTTAGGGAGAATATTTGGGTGGAAGAGCCGGGGTCCCAACGGTTAACCGGTTAACCAGTCTCCCTCGGGAAGCCATGCTCGTTGCCGCAGACCCCGCGTCGAGTATCCAATCCTCCCGGTCACTTGGCTTCGACTCTGGGTTTAGGGTTTAGGGTTTAGGGTTTAGGGTTTGGGGTTTGGGGTTTGGGGTTTAGGGTTTAGATGGGTTTAGGGTTTAGGGTTTGGGGGGGGGGGGTCGGGGGGGTTGATCTGAAGACCAAGTTTGGTACCCCAAACTGCCTGTATCAGGAATGTACATGACGCAACAAGGGCCCATTATCTAGGCCACCCGCCGCCGAGCAAAGGCAGGGAGGCTTGCGCTTTGCTACCTAACCAAGGAGGAGAGACGACGTGCTTTAGGGTTTAGGGTTTAGGGTTTAGGGTTTAGGGTTTAGGGTTTAGAGTACCTAACCAAGGAGGAGAGGCGACGTGCTGCTGCAACTCAGCTGCAGCTGCGGTCGTGCTTTCGATGGACCCAACGTGCTCTCAATGTTCAGACTAGATGTCCCAGATCGTCTAAGATCCCTAAACCCTAGTCCCTAAACCCGATGTCCTGAACCCTAAACCCCAAACCCTAAACCCCAAACCCTAAGCCCTAAGCCCTAAGCCCTAAGCCCTAAACCCTAAACCCTAAACCCTGAACCCTGAACCCTAAACCCTACCGTGAGGCGGGATCTCAAGCTGGGTGTCAAGGCGTGCTCAAGCACGCGAGGCGCCGCAGGCCAGGCAGCATCATGTGAAACATAAGGGGGGTCTCCGGGTCTCCGAAAATCGGGGTACCCTTTTTTGGGGGTCCCGTTAAGGGGATCCGATTCTATTTTGGGTAAGAAGGGTACCCCTATTTTGGGAAACACCCATATAACTTGAGCCGCTGGGGCTGGGACAGAAAGAAGTGACGTGGCGCAGGCAGAGCCCGTTTCCGCGCTCATTGCTCCGCCGCCTGATGCAATACCTGACTGAGCTGTCGCTATGTGAGGGCTTTCGAAAAAAAGGGATCCCAAATACAGTCCCCCCCAAGAGCCCAAGAACCCCTAATTTCGGAAACCCCATGGAACGTGTTGGGTAAAAAAGCCGAGCAGACGCTGATGCCAAGCCAGACATTGTCAGCCGAGGTGACAAGCGACCTTGAAAGTCTTCCACCTGTTTCGGTGGCTTTCAAGGTACCGCGCATGCGGAATGGACAGCAGCAGGCGGCCTTGCTGGTAAGTTTTTGTTTAGGGTTTAGGGTTTAGGGTTTAGGGCTTAGGGTTTAGGGGTTTAGGGTTAAAGGATCTTAAGAGAAAGCTGCAGGGAGTGGCACCGAAACATGCGCTCAAGCATCCCTGGCAGCGCCCCGAGGCGGTTCAGCGAAGAGACCGCCCCAAAGTCCGCTCCGACATGCCTGAGTTGATTGGGCTCACAAGAATCCCCTCCCCCTAAACTTAAACCTCCTCTGACTCTACCCCCTAATTTTAAATACCCCCCCCATATACTCTAATATAACTATCATAAGGGGTATTTAGTATTGGGGTTTGGGGGGGGGGGGGGTTAATACTAGGGGGGGGGGATTAAGAACTTTCTGTTTCACGGCCGAGTCGGAGTGTCAGTCGAATGATGTAGAGAAAAACGGGGTGTTGGTCCTTGCACCTGCTGAAGCTGTCAGTGAGCTGTCCTTGACAGGATTCCGCCCGCCCCAAGAACGGATGTTGAGATTCCTGTGGCACTCTTGGGCTGCCCAGGACATCGTCCCACCAGCCCAAAAGGCTGTGCAAGCCCTGGGCTACGCGAACGCGCCTCAGACACGAAGCGATGGCTGCGGGGATGCATATGAGAGCCTTTGACATGGCGCGAGGAGTTACAAGGGTCACGGGCCTGGATGGCAGCGAGATTGCCTTGGTCAGGTGGCTTTACCCTGAGAGCTGCGTCGGAATACTCCAGCACCCCAACATGCAGACGCCAAGAGTTGAAAGTTGCAGCCAAGGCCTTGACTCTTGACCTCCTTCACTGGCACGGCGGGGTCCGTGTTGTGTAGCTTGCAGCGAATCCAAAAACCCCAAACCCTAAACCCTAAACCCTAAACCCCAAACCCCAAACCCCAAACCCCAAACCGCCGCTACAGCGAGTGCCCTAAGCATCCCTTCTGACCCTCAGGCTTGGCATCCAGGGCAGCGCCGATGCGCCGCCACTTCGCCGAGAACGTTCTGGCTTTTGTGGTGCAGGTGGGGGCTCCAAGTGCCTGCAAGCACGGCAAAAGCACTCAGAAAGTCATTATCACGTATCCCATCCATCCATCAAGGTGTGTCCCGCGCGTGGGCTTGGGGTTTAGGGTTTACGGTTTAGGGTTTAGGGTTTAGGGTTTAGGGCTTTAGGGCTTTAGGGGTTAGGGGTTTAGGGTTAGGGTTTAGGGATTCTGTGAGCCACGGTTGACCTGTGAAGGCAATCATCGCCGAGACAGACAAGTCCGTCTTGCTCCGGGAGGCAACCGGACGAACCCATACCAGGCAGGGGAGGTCCAAACCCCAAACCCCAAACCCTAAACCCTAAACCCTAACCCCGAAACCCTCAACCCTAAACCGTAAACTCTCGGCAGCAGAAACGATGTCAAGGATGGCCAAACCGATGCTGAAGGGCACTCAGCTGCAGAAAGCCCGGACGCTCAGAGAACACTTGCTGCTGTTTTGCTTGCTTCTCTTTTGCATGAAGCATCATGAAGCCCGCTTACGCTCACAGCGGCATGTCAGACCTGGTTCGAGCCAGAACAGGTCATGCTGAGTGAAGAGTTTACCACGTCAGCTTTGCTGCAGCTGCGGGTGCCCTAAAGAGGATGGGAAGTCCATGGAAGTCCTCGAAGTTGTTGGCCCACCTAGCGACGCCTGAGGCAGCTTGCCCGAGAAGGGCAGCCGTGGATGCCGCACGCGCAGTTGCGGGTGCGGCGAGAGCTTCCCACGGAGTCGGAGGGAGGCGTGGCTCGTACGGCTACAGGGGTACTCATAACCCCAATCACAAGTCTACTTCTAACTTCTGACCTAGCGGACTTAAAAGGGGCTTATAAGTGCAGTTAGAATTGGGGCTATAAGTACCCTGAACCTCCAAGCAGAGTGTCCGACGTCGCCAATGTTGCCGCACCAGCTCTCCAGGTCCTTTCTTTCTGGACGATCCCTCTCTACGCCTGCAAGCCCGCTGCATCTCATACAGGCGGGTTGCTGTGATATGGGGCGTACGAAAATAGGGGGGACCCCTAAAGTCGACCCCCAAATAGTAGTAGGGTTCCCTTAAGATAAGGACCTCAATAAGGTACTCCCCTACTTTCATCTAATTTCGGAAGCCACCATATGGCTTCAGGGAAGGCATCCAGAAGAGTGCATGGATAAGATTTCCCAGGTCTGCAGCAGATGGGGGCTTGAATGGAGGCCGCCCAGTCGCTGCTACATGCATACATAGGATAGGGGATCTGGGGAGGATGACGTGCTTGATCCTGACAGCAAAAGGGATGCAAGGTAGGGTTGCTGCAGTTGTTCTTGTGCAAAGTCCGTCATTGCCATGGGATATTGGGTTTCGCATTGCTATACAGCAGCTTTTCGTGGCATCTGCACCTGCAACACACGCCCCCCCCCCCCCCCTCACCCCTCCCCCCCACTCCTGTTCCGCATGAGACTATGGCAACTTGTCTTCAGTGTCACCTGTGCTCCTAGTCTTAAAGGGCTGTGGTGACTGCCGCGGACCCTAAACCCTAAAACCTAAACCCTAACCCTAAACCCTAAACCTTGAAGTGCTGCAAAAACAACGGGGATTTAGCCAACTTTGCTCTTGACATGGGGGCAGTGGCTTGGCCAGGCCACAGCCGTGGCTTCGTTGCCACGTGCCTGCATCTGTGTGTTAGGGTTTAGGGTTTAGGGTTTAGGGTTTAGGGTTTAGGGTTTAGGGTTTAGGGTTTAGGGTTTAGGGCCCAGCCCCAGATTCTGATTCTCGGGCATCCTGAGACCCCTGAACACAAACCCCCAACCCCTAAAAAAACCCTAAGCCCTGAACCTTAAGCCCCTAAGACCCTAAAACCCTAAAACCCTAAAACCCTAAAACCCTAGAGCCCCAAAACCCTAAAAGCTTAAAGCCCTAAAACCCTAGAACCCAGACCCCCTGATTCTTAAGCCTTAAATCCTGAAACCCTCAAAGCCCTGAAGCCCTGAACGGGTGCCGACTCGGGAGGATTACTGGCTGGATCTTAGTTGGGAATGAGGAAATGAGGGCCCTATATATACCCTTTAATCCCTCCCTAAACCCTAAACCCTAAACCCTAAACCCTAAACCCTAAACCCTAAACCCTAAACCCTAAACCCTAAAGCCCTCATTCCCTACTAAGAACCGGGCGATTGGGAAACTGAGGCCTTGGGTGCCGACGATGGTTGCCGCACTTGGCTGCTCCCTTTCTCCCTGGACTGAAACGCAGTCGTTGCTCCTTTTTTGTTTAGGGTTTAGGGTTTAGGGTTTAGGGTTTAGGGTTTAGGGTTTAGGGTTTAGGGTTTAGGGTCGGGTCTTTTTTTGGTTCTTTTTTGGCCAAGAACCCAAAATCCTCTCCTCAAGATGCAGGATAGTGCCTTGGCCTTGAGCCAAGAGAAGCATTCGCGAGGGCCTCAGATGCCAGCACGTGAAAGTATGGTTCTCTTTTGGGGTCCCTTTTCAGAGGGTTTAGGGTTTAGGGTTTAGGGTTTCGGGTTTAGGGTTTAGGGTTTAGGGTTTAGGGTTTAGGGTTTAGGGTTCAGGGTTCAGGGTTTAGGGCATGAAGGACCCAAAAGGGGCTCTAACTCACAGAACTACCCACCTGCGTTGACCCAAGGCAGCTGCTCTCCGAGGTTGTAGCCGCGCGGTGCTGAGAAGACTTCAGGGGTACTGAGGGTTGAGCCCGAAACCCTCAACCCTAAACCCTAAACCCTAGACCCTAGACCCTAGACCCTAGACCCTAGACCCTAGACCCTAAACCCTAAACCCTAAACCCTAAACCCTAAACCCTAAGCAGCGCACAAGCAGACGAGAGCGGTGCATTGCAGGCAGTTGGCCTGGACTCTGGCCAGGCCACGCTTTTTGAGTTTAACTCTCAGCCCCACACCTTGGGATGTTCACCCCTTCGGGTTTAGGGTTTAGGGTTTAGGGTTTAGGGTTTAGGGTTTAGGGTTTAGGGTTTAGGTGTGGGATGTTCCCCCTTATGCTACCAGTCCTTAGTAGGGATTCTAAGCGGGGGGTACCATAATCTGAATTAAGGACTGTCAGTATAAGGTTGAACATCCCAACCTACACCCTCTAAAAACATCCTCAGCTGCTCAGAAGCTGTTTTAGACGCCCTATAAGCCCCGGGAATGGCCTAAACCCTAAACCCTGAACCCTGAACCCTAAACCCTAAGCCCTCGGGCAGGTGCGGGTCTACCTGTCCTATGCTCCGTGCCTGGCGTGCCTGGCAACGCTCTACCAGCTCCGCAGCCACAAAGGCGACGTCCACTTCGGGCACCGGGACTCGGCCCCCGTAATCATAGGGAGACTCCCAAGTAATTTAAGCAGCCTTCCTTATCATACCAGAGCCGGTGGAATGTCCGGGGGAAGGGAAGCTGTCTGAGATACCAGACTTCGGAGAATCTGAGAAGGCCCCTGCTGTGTTCGCAGGCGTGCGGCTGCAGGTGGCTTTCGACACTTGGCGCCAGACACGGATGTGGACCGCCGAGGCTGAGGGAGCCTCGTAGCTCCTTGAAGCCTTGAGAAGGCACTTTGAGGGTTAAGAGTAGGCGAGCGGCTCAGGAGGTTCCTTGGGCCTGATAATGGCTTGTGCAGCAAAGTCTGCGCGCAGCGATCTTCGGAGCGGCCAGGACCAAAGATTGTACCTGTTCCGGTCCGGTGGTCGGATCAAGTGGATCTTGACCGCAAAGTTTGAAGCTGGCGGTGACAAAGAAATTGAACGCGATGAGTGACCAGGGTGCTCCTGGGCTTCGGCATGCTTGCCAGTGGGCACTTACGAAAATGAGGGACCCCAAATATAGACCCCAAATAGTAGGATCCCCTCATAATCAGGACCCCAATAAGGTACCCTCCCTGTTATCGTAAACCCCCAAGTGGCTTTGCATGGAGATACGTCGGTAGCTTTGGCTCCAGCTCTCCGCGCTGTAAAACGCCGCGGCGTCCTGCCACGGCTGCTGGCCTGCACGAGATCTGCGGGGTTCACGAACATACGGGACCCCGAATATACTGCAGTCCCCAAAATCGTAGGATTCCCTTATCATGAAGGTACCCACCCCCCAAATCCTAAACACCCAGCTGAAGTTGCGTGTGTCTGTCACGACCATGTAAGGTAATGCGCAGATGAGTTGGGCCGAGCTGAAGCCGGGCCGACTCAACCTCGAAGATTCTTCTCCCTCTTCTTCCTTCGCCCTGTGTCGCGCCCCGCGCAGCTTGCTGTCGGCAGCTGAGCCTGCTCTGCCTAAGATGCCCTGACGCGCTGCGCATGGAACCCTAAACCCTAAACCCTATATAAACCTTAAACCCTAAACCCCAAACCCCAAACCCGAAACCCGAAACCCCAAACCTCAAACCCCAAACCCCAAACCCCAAACCCCAAACCCCAAACCCCAAACCCTAAACCCTAAACCCTAAACCCTAGACCCTAAACCTTAAGTGACGGTTAACCCGAGGCCATGAAGAGTGTCATTGATGCCGACTCTTTGAAGCGAGATTTGGAAGCCAAGCTACAGAGGCTTGTTCAGGAGGCCAGGGGGGGTTTAGGGTTTAGGGTTTAGGGTTTAGAGTTTAGGGTACAGTGGAGAGAAGGGTAGTTCTGTAGATTTTGGCCGTTTGGGAACCCGAGATCAAAGGCCTCGGATTACGATGGGAACCCCGAAGCAACGCCGCTCATTGGAACTGGACAGTTCCGGCCAGGAGAGGGTAGCACAACATCGTGCAAATGTGGACCATCAGCCGGTTGGGCTGTGTCCGCTTCAAGTGGGAGAGGCCTGTGGAAATTTCGTGCTCAGATCATTAACCTTAAACCCTAAACCCTGAACCCTAAACCCTAAACCCTAAACCCTAAACCCTAAACCCTAAACCCTAACCCCTAAACCCTAAACTCTAAACCCTACATTCGAAGATCCTCGGCGACCGCGGACTCCGATCAACGGACAGGTGCTTCACGAGGACCTGCCCACCGTCTTGCCGAAGTGGATGCACGAAGGCCTCGGGCCTTTAGGGTTTAGGGTTTAGGGTTTAGGGTTTGGGGTTTAGGGTTTAGGGTTTAGGGTTCCAATCCGTCCAGCTACTAGAAAGCCCAGCGGAACATGGTTCGAGCGCATTGGTTTTTTTTGGAGAACAGTCAGGAACGGAAGGCTTTAGTTTCACCAGGCCGTCCTTCTTGCATCTTCTCTATGGTTTAAGGTTTAGGGTTTAGGGTTTAGGGTTCATCAGAAGCTCTTGCAGGCCTTGGCCCATGCATGGCGGCCATGGCAACGCCATCTTTGGACAAGAATAACTTTTCCATTGGAACGCAAGGACATCCCAACAGATGCAGCCTGCGTGCATTTGAGGCTTTTGCATCAGAGAAGTAGAGATGGATAGATAGATATATATATATATAGACATTTATATTTACGCTTACATGCAGTTCCAAAGTACGTCCTTAAGGCAAGCCTGCGTGTCGCTTTCATCGGCGGAGGGGTGGCTGTCGTGAAGGCCCCTGCCTGAGAATTCGTCGCGGGTATGGCCAGAAACATTGCACTCACACAGACACAGACCGACCGGAGCCAGCGGGAGCTAGCGGCCACTTGCTAAGGCAACTCGTGCAAATTCTGCTGCTTGACTGCATTCGTGTGCCTGTCATCACCGCACTAGTGCCGCCGTTTCGAGGCCATGAGTGCGTCTTCATGGAACCAGACCCGAACTACTTGGCGCCCCTGCGAAAGCCTTGGGGAAGGGTTGGGATCCGGGAATGGCATGCAAAAGGCTTGCTATGGCTTGCTCCTTTCATTTTTGGCACTGCGCTCTGTGGTTAAGGCAGAGCTTGGGCCCAGCATCTTCAGCGGTCAATGTTGCCCGGCACTGGACTAGCGAAGAAGCGTGAGGGTGCGCGAGGCTGTGGGGGGGTGTGCCAGTGTAGAGCCGAGGCTCCAGTGCCACCCGGCGCCATGCGGAGACCGAGCTCAGAGGGCGAATACCCTTCCGTAGGCTCCATCGGACATCCCGTGTCCTGTAAGTCGGGAGCCCAGACGTGGAAAGGACAGAGCGGGAGGCCACAGCGCGCGTGCCCCCGCGCCCCTGCGCGCACTCGCCGAAAATTTCGAACTCAGCCGAGGCCACCCTGCAAGTACAACTCAAAGCCGAAGGGCTGCAAGGATGGGCTCCTCTGCGACCACTGCCACCTCTGCCGCTGGAAGCGTCATGGCGGAGCTGGTGGAGCTGGTGCTGGTGGAGCTGGTGGCAGCCCCGGAAGCAGCCCACGGAAACACCACATGTTGCCACCATGTCCTGGTTTCGGGTTTGGGGTCTGGGGGTTTGGGGTTTGGGGTTTAGGGTTGGTCCCCGACCAGGTAGATCCAGCCCTGACAGGGAGGAGACTGTCTTTGTGTGATCCCCAAGCGGCGTTGATTGAGAAACAGTGTGCTTCGTAGCCTGAACACACTGCCAGATTGTAGATAGGCTGTGTTGTGAACAACTTGACTATCCTGTGCTGCGGCTCTACTTGCAAATAGCAAGAGTCAGCGGCGCAGGCTTTCAAAATCTTTGCTTCCAAAACAATGCATGGATGGAAGATCTGAAAAATCCCATCATTGGGTGTTCGAGCCCCCTTGCATGTGCCGATGGACGTCGTTTGGTTCGGCGTTTGGTTGCTTTTTAAAGTCACGTGGCCAAAACGCTGCTTTATTTGGATGCGCCTGCGTCGCACCAGCTGTGAGATCAGGTACGTAACACGCAGCATCCCTCAAGGGGCCCTCATCACATTGGCTTTGTTGCTTTCTTTTGCTCCGGTGGGTGCCCTTGGCGCTCAGCGCAACACGCTACCAGTACGAAGCAGGTGCAGGTTTGGAGCATCTTGCTGGTGCCGGATTTTGACAGATTCTGGATGCTGAGCAACCTGGACTGCCTTTTGCTCCAGTGGTCAGTCCACTGACGCCTAAAGCCAGGAATGTTGTGACCTGGGCCGCTTTTCATAAGGTTGTAGGAAGCCCAGGACCCCAGTAGGCCCCTCTTCGACATCTCCCAATGCAGTTTTGCTGCCCCTTGGCTCCGCTTCCCTGGTCGTAGCTACCGTCTCTTGACCGGGTGCTTCTGCCCTTGGTACAGACAAGCAGAGACGCAAAGCACCCTGGAATTCGTGACCATGGTGGGCTGCTGGCCCACCTGCCATAATTTTGCAATGGTTTACATAGAAAGAAAGGGAGCAGGGGCGTTGTGTCTTTCCTTGCCTGTCAGTTACCCCTTGTTGCCTGAGCTCTTCTTTGATGCAAAGCACTTCCCTTTCCTGTTCAATGCTGCAGAGGGTCACCAGCAGGAACAGATGCGCTTATCGTCCCTTCCACCACCAACGCACAGTCATAGCTCACACAGCAGGTGTGCCAGCCTTGAGCTTGAAGACGCAGTGTCCGCAAGCAGCAGCAGACGTTACACGTTTAGGTGGACGGCATTTCCGAGCCATGGCCTCCGGCGCACCACCGCAGGCCCGTGTTCTGGACGCTGCAACCCTAAACGTTTGTCATAGCGGGGTATCATTTTGCATTTTTACGGGTACTTAAACTCAATAGGGAATAGAAATTCAAGTTTTAATACGATAACCATGAGCAAGAAACCCCCAGTGATACCCAGAGACTCCAAAACCCCTTAGCCGAAGGGTCGATCATGGTAGACGTGTAGCTTCAGGAAGCGGAACCCATAGAAGAAGTCCTGAACCCAAAAGGCCGAAATTGAAACCGCCATCAGCGGCCCTGACGCCCCCGGAGCCGCAATCCCAAGCTTCCCGGAACTTGCTTCGCCTGAATGGTCCTGAGAGCCCCAGAGTTCCCTAAAGCCTGAGGCTTTGAAAGCCCCAAGTTTCCCTAACCGCGTGAAGCCAGAAACCCTCAACTTTCCTGGAACTCCCAACCCTGCACCAAACAAAGAACTGAAACCCCAGACTTTTTTTGGTTATAGGCAGGTTGTTGGGTTTCGGATGGGTGTCGGGGGCTTGTGCGGAGTATAGGTTCTTTTGAACCCTTCGAGCCCGGCACTTCCCTTTGCGGGGTTCGTTCGCGAAGTCAAGGTCCCCTTTTGGGGGTCTTGTTTTTTTCACGGTGCCCTTAACGTAAGGACGCTGATTCAGAGAACCCCTAGACCCTCAACCCTCAACCCTAAACCCTAAACCCTCAACCCTCAACCCTCAACCCTCAAACCCTCAACCCTCAACCCTCAACCCTCAACCCTCAACCCTCAACCCTCAACCCTCAAACCCTCAAACCCTCAAACCCTCAAACCCTCAAACCCCAAAAGGTCTGCCACTTCAAGTTGGTGCTTTTGGGGGATGCCTCAGTGGGCAAGTCCTGTCGCGCGCCCAGCGGGCTCGAGGACAACTGTTTGATGGATCCTTTCGGTTTAGCATCCTAAGGTTCAAAATTCAAAATGTCGTGGCGCAAGAATGTAGATGTCTTTTACATCTAGAATCATGAATATAAAGAATCTACGAGACATGTTATAGTGCATAGAAATAGCAAAACAACAACACTTAAACACGTGTCTGGTTGGTTTAGTTATTGCATCTAATATAGCGAATGCACATATGCAAAACTCATGCAACTAATACAAAGTGCACAGTTAATATGAATAGTATCGTTAAGTCATTTAATATCGTTCAAAAACGCATCTTTTTAGTGAGTATTTTAAACATCACTAACATTTAGTTCATGTAACTAGTATGTTTACAGCAATGAAAAATCACACATACTGTCTTGCAAATAAGATAAACACGCGGATGATCTAATTCATGCAAAGTAGGGTAATATACCCATTGGCATGAAGATAAGGCGCTACGCTCATTCTTCGTGTTCATTATGATCAGTAGGGTCACCAGATTCAGGATTTATTTTATCCTTCTGACCCAAGTATTCATTAAATCCATTCACTGCATTCATTATAGTCAAGTATGCTCAATTTGATCTTCTATTCGCTATGTCCATTTGTTCATTGTGTTTGTTCTACTCAACATATTCATTGTACCAGGTTCATTGCTTATATGGGTAGTTCTCTAAATTAGGGTCCCTTTTTGAGATCCCTTTAAAGGGTGCCGCCTTATAATGGGTACCCAAAAAGGGACCCTAATTTAGGAAACTACCCATATTAATTATTTAGCGAGGGTTGGTCAGTTGATTAGTTATGCTGTTTTATTCTTTACCTTACCCGAAAAACCCAGGACAACATGTCAGGCTCTGTGATGTTTCAATATCTATATACATATACATACGTACGTACATACATACATAAATACATACATATTAGGTGAAGAGCTTCTTTTCTGGGGGTTCAGTTGGCTGAGCAGTTCTGTCTGCCTGTGTCTGGAAGGTCTTGTCGTCAGATTTGCCAAAGGCGCGGTGCCATGTGCTGCTGAGAAAGGGTTTAGGGTTTAGGATTTAGGATTTAGGGTTTAGGCTTTAGGGTTTGTTTCAGTGGCGTGTGCTTGGGCCAGGAGAGTTCTATGAGTACCAGGACTGGAAATCCGGATAAGCTTCGCTGCTCTTTGCCGAGTTGTGAAATCACCTTTCGTGTGGAGGAACCAACAATTGGAGCTGCCTTCATGACGCAGACAGTAAGCCTCAACACAGAGGCCGATGTCTCTTCGCGTCGTGAGAAGTTGTGATCCGCCAATTCCTACAAGCTTTCTCTGATCGGAGGTTGTCAAGTTCGAGATCTGGGATACCGCTGGGCAGGACAGAGTGGCATGGTGTCTTGCCCACACCGAACCCCGAACAAGGGCACCTCCTCAGCTTAAACCACTGCACCCCAAAGCCTCAACCCCGAATACCCCTAAATACCCCCAGCTACCCCAAATACCCCAAGCACCCCAAATGCTCCAACTACCCCTAAATACCCCCATCGGAAAAAAACCCGTCTTTGGAACCCTGTGGGCGTTCGTGATCTTACTTCAGTTCTGGGGATTCCTGAGGAGCGCTACAAGAGCCTTGTCCCAATGTGTGAGCCTCAGCTTGCGAAGCGGGCTCAACCCTAAACCCAAAGCCCGCCCTAAGCCCTAAACCCTGAACCCTAAACCCTAAACCCTAAACCCTAAACCCTAAACCCTGAACCCTGAACCCTGAACCCTGAACCCTGAACCCTGAACCCCTAAACCTACCAGCTCCCAGGTACTACCGGGGCGCTGCAGCTGCTGTCATCGTCTTTGACATCACGTCGCGGGACCCGACGCGATTCCCCGTGTGGTCAGTGCTGCAAATTACAGTTTCGAGCAGGGCTCCCCAAATGTGAGGGGGTGGTTGGGATGTTCCCACGAACAGCCCGTAAAAGGGAGAGAAAGGGATTAAATAGGGGGGTACTAGAATCCCCACTAAGGGCTGTTAGTATAAGGGGGAACGTTCCAAGGGGGACGCATTGTAATCGGAACTCCCCGAAAGGGACCGTGATTTAGAGGACTGACCAGGGGGAGGTTGTTAGGGTCACCTTTGCAGGTACGTTGGCTAGCTTCGGAGTCCTTCTTGCCAAGACCTACTGTTGAATTGAAGCAATTTCCCTCCCCTGGCGAAGTGGTGGCTTAATTACTGCTCAACCCTAAACCCTAAACCTAAACCCTAAACCCCCTAACCCCTAAAACCTAAACCCTAAACCCCCTAAACCCTAAAAGGGCCCAAACCCTAAACCCCACACCCTCAACCTCTGTTTTCTTTTTTACCCGAGTGGCGCTCTTTGACCGGTGAGGAGTCCTTCGATGCAGCCAAAGCCTGGGTTTCCGAGCTGCAGAACACGGACCCCGCCCACTAATGTGTCCCGATGTAGGATTTAGGGTTTAGGGTTCAGGGTTTAGGGTTCAGGGTTCAGGGTTTAGGGTTTAGGGTTTAGGGTTTGATTCGCAAGTGGCTTGACGCGCCGACAGGACACATTGATCGCGCTAGCGGGGAACAAGTCTGACTTGGAGGCTGATGCTCCGATGTTCCTCCAGTTGCTCAGATTATTAATCACTTATTTGGGGAATATGGGGCCCTTATTATCATATAAGCCCTTAGTTGATAGGGCCCTTACCCCGCCCCCCCCCCCCCCCCCCCCCCCGCCTCTTCCAACCCCTTGATTCCTTATGCGGGTTTTTGGGGTCAGGAACTTCGGGTTCGGCGTCATTCTGCTTCCGAATCGCCGGTGCCAGGCAGCTCGGGCTGTCGACAGGGATGCGGCTAGAGCTTATGCAGACCAGATGAGCCTCCTGTACATGGACTGCCCTGCTTATTGACTGCTTGTCGGGAAGGAAGGTATGGGGTACTTTGGGTCCTTACTGATACTACACTATGACCTCTCTTTCTTCCTTCTCCCTCATTCCCCGAGCTGGCCAGTTTGCCTCGAAAGCAAAGGGCCCCGAGTGCTGAGCAGGAGACGTCAGCCAAGACCGGGCAGAACGTGAACGAGTTGTTCAATGAGCTCCCTGGTGCCGAAAGCCGGACTTTCGGGCCCCTAAGCCTTCGACCCCCCTAAGAGCCCCCTAGCGGGAATTTCCGAAGCTAGGGGGACCCCGAATGTAGACCCACCAAATAGCAGGATCCCCTTGTAATAAGGACCCCGATAAGGTACCTAAACCCTAAACCCTAAACCCTAAACCCTAAACCCTCTAAACCCTAAACCCTAAACCCTAAACCCTAAACCCCAAACCCTAAACCCTAAACCCTAAACCCTAAACCCCCCATGTGGTCTCCATGCCTGCAGTCTTCACAGAGCACCGCAGAACTGAGGATCGCAGTTCGCCTGCCAAGGAGATCGCAGGAGCCAATACAATAGTACAAGAAAATATAATGTAACATACTATTATAGTGTAATATGAAATATAATAAAATGGGAAAATAGAATGACATGATATAGTATAAGCCTTACTCCAACATGCAACCCCTTCATCGGTTTGTACATGTTTGTACCATCGGGAGGTTTCTGTTGAGACATGCCGCTGACGCAGGAAGTATCCCGGTTGCCCCTCAAAACGTGAGTTTGTATGCCCCTCCGCCCCACCCCACCCCCACCCCCCCAAATCCCCCCAATGGCTTGCAGAGCACATGGGCTGTCGAGAGACGTGGGTGGTTGTTCCATGTTGCTCCCAACACTTTGGAAAGTACAGCGCCTGCCCGAATTTGGCATCAGAAGACGTCTCATTGAGCCATCAGGAGGAGCCGAGGACACGGGGTTTTGCCGCCAGCAACCGAGCTTCCTTGAGAGTTCTTTGCGTCATCGCTGAGTAGTGGCTCCGACGGTTCTCGAGTGCTATCGACCTTTTAGACTCTCATGTTGGCATGTGTTGATAAGTGCAATCCTCTCAGGGTTTGAATTACCCCGCCACACCATTTGCAGGGTTTCATTTTGTTTTGTGGTTTTCTCAATTACATGCAGGTGTCATGTTCCATCTGCTGCGAGGCATTTCTGGGATTTTGACTGTGCCAGGTCGGACAGAGCGGCACAAGCTCTGCTGGTTGTGCGTCCTCTTGCTGATCTATCGCACGTGTGAGATGTCCACGTGAGCTGTTCTTAGTACCCGCGGGCTTCAAAGTGAAGCTCGCCCACACGACCCGCCTCTGGCAAATGACACGATGCTGCATGGGGGTGGTTTTCTGTAAACTATGAGAGTATACTGGGCTCGAAATTATGAGAATACACTGCAACAGTGCAACAGAGACCTTACAAGGCCCATGATGAATTTAGATCAGGCCTCCCAGATGCTCCTTTTGGACCAGTTGCGATCCTTTCTGGACATGACGCTCGCTCCCTGCTTACCGCTGGTCACTCTCTGATACAGCATCGCACGGTAGTGGACATGAGGCAAGTCCAGCCACGGAAGACGGCAGAAAGGCTGACATCGTCTGCCACAGTATGCCCTGCTGCAGTACTCGTAGCTGCCAAGACAAGCCGCTGCTTCTTTTCTACGCCATGGACTTCAACTTCAAGATTCCCCTTGGCTGCTACACGGATGCTTCTGTAAAGGACTGCATCCAGCAACAGCATGTGTGGTGTCTGTTCTAAGATCTGTCAAGCTTGCTCTTTTTTGGTTGGTTTCGGGTGAACGTGACGCCCTGCACCATCCCTTCATGCCCTCGCTCAGCCTTAAAACCCCTGAAGCCCTAAAGCCCTAAAGCCCTAAATCCCTAAAGCCCTAAAGCCCTAAAGCCCTAAAGCCCTAAAGCCCTAAAGCCCTAAGCCCTAAACCCTAAACCCTAAACCCCTAAACCCCTAGCAACCCCAAAATCAGAGGAGCTCCGCGCCTTCCTCAGCTGCACGCATCGGCGGGCCGGTGAGGCCTTGACCACCACCCAGAAAGCCCCACGAGAGCCCTTTGTAGGGTTTAGGGTTTAGGGTTTAGGGTTTAGGGTTTAGGGTTTATAGGGTTTAGGATTTCGGGTTTAGGGTTTAGGGTTTTGGGTCCCTTCCTCAGAACCAGTAGGTCTAGGGGGTTGTGGGGTTTTGGGTTTTGGGTTTAGGGGTTTGCGGTTTTGGGGTTTTGGGGTTTTGGGGTTTTGGGGTTTTGGGGGTTTAGGGTTTTGGGGTTTTGGGGTTTTGGGGTTTTGGGGTTTTGGGGTTTTGGGGTTTGGGGGTTTTGGGGGTTTTGGGGGTTTAGGGTTTTGGGGGTTTTGGGGGTTTTGGGTTTTGGTTTTGGGGTTTAGGGGTTTGGGTCAGGGGGTTTGTAGGCTCATTCCTTGCTAAGAATCGGCAGGTGTAGGGGTCCTCGGGTTTTCGGGTTTAGGGTTTGGGGTTTTGGGTCTAGGGGTTTTGGGTTTTGGGTTTAGGGGTTTAGGGGTTCAGGGGTTCAGGGGTTCAGGGGTCCCCGCAATTAGGGTCCCGGGTACCTATGATCAACTGGAGCCACTTGTTAGTTCTGGGAACCGCTGGCAGTTGCCGACCCACCCTAAACCCTAACCCCTAACCCCTAACCCCTAACCCCTAACCCCTAACCCCTAAACCCTAAACCCTAAACCCTAAACCCCTAAACCCCAAAACCCCTAAACCCCTAAACCCCCAAACCCCTAAACCCCTAAACCCCAAATCCCCCAAATCCCCCAAAACCCCCAAACCCCTAAACCCCCAAATCCCCCAAAACCCCCCAAAAACCCATGAGCCGATAAACACTTCGCTTGCAGGGCTCCCTGCCCTGGCGCCAGGGCCTCGGTTTCCAAGCACTTCAGCTTGGGGGTAGTTCGCGAAGATCAGAGGATCCCCTGGAGTGGCTTAGGGTTTAGGGTTTAGGGTTTGGGGATGGTTTAGGGTTTAGGGTTTGAAGTGCGGATCCCCAACTCTAATTTAGGGAGCCACCGAAGTTGCTACTCGGAGTAGCGCGCGGGCGCGCGCGCGCGCTGGCGCGCTGCCATAGGCCTGGCCCAGCGCGGCCCGCAGCTGCTGCTGCTGATCTCCGAGTTCGTCCTGGCGCCCAAGGTGGTCCTCTACGCGGGCTGCGAGGAGAGGGTGCTCCTGAAGTCCTTTTTAAAGCCAAGAAAGCCATGAAACCCTGAAACCAAAAACGCCCCGAAACCCCAAGCCTTGCACGAGCTTAAACCCTGAGAGCCCTGCAGCCCTCAGAACACTAAAGCCCTGAACGTAAGCCCTAGACCTAGACCCCCAAAGGCCCCAACACCCCTAAACCCTAAACCCTAAACCCTAAACCCTAAACCCTAAACCCTAAACCCTAAACCCCTGAAGCCCTCCGAACCCCCAAAGCCCAGGATGGCAGGATCAAGGCCCTGGAGCTGGAGCCGCTTCCGGGCAACGCCTCGCGGATCCGAGAGGCCGAGGGCCACTCTTTGTTTGGGATTCACGATTTAGATGTATATATATATATATATATATATATATATTTTTTTTTTTTTTTTTTTAAAGTTTTTGTGAAATCCCTGTAAAGAAGCTGCCATGGAATAAAGCGAGGACTACTCGGTGATGGGGAAATTTGGGTTCGTGAAGGCTTATGAAGGCCATCTGGTCGTGCTAAATCGCTTCGTGGTCAGAGAGGTGCCGTGGAAGCTTTAAAGGGTAGAGACTGATGGATGGGCTCAAACCGTGAGTCGTGAACAGCACAAGGACAACAAAGTAGGGAAGCTAGATGGTTTAGGGTCCATCGCCCCTCAACCCTAAACTCTCAAGCCTCACACGTCGGAGTGGATTCGCAGGCGCCAAGCCCCAATCTTTGAAGTTGCGCAGGTGGAGAGCGTGGCGGCTCCGAAGAAGGGCCACATGGCGAACGGAGGCCCTGCCGGGCCATCAGCTAGCTCCGCGATGCTCCACAGTGCACTTCAGGGTTTACAATAAGAATATAGTAGAGTATAGTATGATATAGTATGATATGGTGTAAGATAGTATAATATAGTATGATCTAGTATGATATAGTATGATATAGTATGATATAGTATGATTTAGTATGATATAGTCTGATATATGCTTGAGGGTCTGTATTCTTTGGGGATGCAAAGCAAATGTCCCGCACTGCTCCGAAGTGGCAGCACGAAGTTTAGCAAGAGCCTCCATTTCTTGGTGGGAAGGCTTGTGGAGTGGGGTGCCCGGTCAACAGCGAGCAGGGACCTCGGTGGGTGGGCTTTCAGCGGCTCTCAGCGGAGTTTCAGTTCCTCGTATCCACTTCGGGCTGCTTGTAAGTGAGGTGAGTGGACTTGCTGTCGGCGCCTGCCTGAGAAAGCCAATCTGGGTGATGGTCGCACCGTTTTGTGCCGGAAATTGCTGCATGTTTAGTCCACCTTGGGGGGCAGTATGTGCATGAATCGGCTTGAACACAGCATGTCCGAGGCAACGGCTGCCTCTTTGCAGCCATGTCTTCGGGCACCTTGCGTGTGTTTGCGCTGCCTTCTCTTGAGGAGCAGGCAGGATTTAGGGTTTAGGGGTTTAGGGTTTAGGGTTTAGGGTTCAGGGTTTAGGATGTTGGGACCCCCCAGCGTCCGTGATACGCGAGGTCAGCGTTGCGCTGAGAGCTCTTCTTCCGCCGCAGTCGCCAGTAATCGCCCTTCGCTCAGCACCTGCTCTTCGTTTGTCATCAATCACTCGCTGCAGAGCAGCGCTCTGCAGCAGGCTCTCGGGTTTTTTACCATCAGGTTGCATCTGTCGGCCTTGGCCTTGTGTGCGATAGCCGAAGAAAAGAAGGTCGACTGGTATGGCCTGGTGGCAAGCCGGCGCATTCTCTACGTGGTGGACTTGAGCTGGGGCCTGAGAATGCCAAGGGATGCTTTGGAGGAGTCATGGCAAAGCCTAAACTTCCCTCAGCCCTAACCCTAATAAGCCCTAAGCTAACTAAAGCCAGCGAAATCCTAAGGCACCCTCAAACCCTCAACCCTAGACCTTGAAGCCTCAACCCTGTACCCTCAACCCTAGACCCTACACCCTAAACCCTGAACCCTCAACCCAGCCTTTGATGCACAGGATGCGGCCGCGTGGTGCGGGAGATGCCCCTGCTTTTTGCAGCGAGGCCCCTCGTAAGTCATAGGGGCCGCCTTAGAAATCAGGACCCCAAGAAGGGACTAGAATTTGGAGAACTCGCCATGTGGGAGATGCCGAAAGTTTGGAGGGTCTCTATTGGGGGGTTTTCATCACAAGGAGTATGTATCGAATTTTGGGGCGTGGACAGGGGTCCCTATTTTGGTAAATGCCCATGTGAAGTTCAGCTTAAGGTTAGGGTCCGGGTGGGTTTCGGGGGTTCTCAAGGTGGGATTTTACGTTATCGTTTTCGAAGCCAACGTGAAGCTCCGAGTTTGCGGCTTCCAGTAAACTCTGCATACAGATCATGCGCAGAGCGGCGCTGTGCTCCATCCCGTCTTATCTCACGACAAAAAAACTGCACTCCAGACCCTAAACCCTAAACCCTAGACCCCAAGCCCTAAAACCAGGCCCTGCATCATTGCGGAGGGGGCATCTGTCCGAGCCTTGTGGCCAGCTCGAACAGCTGCTTTGTTATCGCTGAGGTTAAGCGTCTACGGGCCTTGACATCACCGTCCCTTGTTGTTTTTGGTGGGCATTATGGTATTCTTAGCTCGCCCTCGCCTCTTCGGAGTCATCCAACCCATCTTGAAGCACAGAATAGCACAGATGTCACTTCCAGCATGGCATGCGCTGTCACGACGGATGTGAGTGCCATGCGATGTCATGCCGTCCCGTGTAGAGCATGGCATGGATCTTGCCGCCCTGCTTGCAGTGTAGGCGCTAGGATCTCTGATGGCTGCAGGTTTTTGTGCAGTGCGATGAAGCTATTCGGGTCTGCTTCCAAGTTTCCGTCATGCCGTTGACATCACCAATCTGACTGCAAGAAATCTCTCTGCTGTCGGGCGTGTTGGGCTTGCGCATGTAACAACGGGGAATGAAGCAAGCGTCGAACCTTGTGGTCAGCAGCGGCGGCACACAGATCGAGTTTCAGTGCATAAGTTGGACTCATTGTAGGCTGTTGGGGTTGTTGGTTGTGTTCGCCTAGCCAGAGCAGATGAGTGTGGTAGAGGCAACTTTTGAATAACTTTGGGGGTAGACCTGTGGCAAGGCCGGCATTTGTTCCTGATGGGTTGCCACCCTTCTGCTCGGAGGGGTTTGGGCGGTGATGGCACTGGAGGCATCCTCTGTCTGGCAGGGGCAGAGACCACGGCAACTGTTCGAAGAGTTGCAGGTGCTCATGGCCTCGCCCTAACAGAGGTGTCCACTCTCGCCGATGCGATGTCGCACCTCGCACGAGGAGGTCGCTGGATGGCCATCGTGGCCGCGCTCGGGACGAGACGTGAGGATATGCTCTTCGATCGAGGGAAGGAAAGCAGCTTGATCCTTGCAGCAAAGCAGCTGGATCCTCCACCCCTGGTTGCGGTTTATAGCTGGACAGCATGTGAGAAGCACAACATAGCATCACGCTGCCGTCGCGCTGGGGCGGATGCAGTCATTTGTTCTGCTGAGGGCTTGACCGATTTACTTGTGGCCCCGGCCCCGCGCGTGCTATGCCTTGCAGGTGAGGAAACCACAGCAACTGTTAAGAGCGTCGCTCGCAAGTACAACTTTATGGTGGTCAAAGTTGCGACAAACGATGAAGCCTTGGACCACGTTCGCAACAGAGGTCCTTGGGGTGCAGTCATCGCTGCCTTGGGCACTCGCCCGGGAGTTGATCTTATCTTCGACGGGGCAGCTGACAGAAGTACCCTTATCTCTGTGGTAAAGAGGCTTAAGCCATCGCCTACAATGGTAGTCTTCAGCCACACCGCGTGCAAGCACGGCGTTATGACCCAGGCATGCACGGATGCTGGCGCGGATGCGGTACTCTGCACGGCAGACAACCTTGAAAAGCTAGTAGCTGCCATTGAGGCAAGCCGCGCATCCTTTATGCTGGACACCAGCGCCCCTGATGTTCCACCTGAGCCCATTCCGGACATGGATGAAGAGCTTCCAGCAAGCCCCTTCACCATCTACAGGACGACGGCAGAGTACCCAATCGTCGCCTCACGGATCGAGGAGAACCGAGAGTTGGAACGGAAACTAGGTCCATCCCATCCAGCAGTCAAGGACTTGTGGTTACTGCTGCGTGAAATCGAGGAGATGCTCAACAGGTTACCGCATCCTCTAACAGTCACATCCTTGTCCTCCACTCCTCCAGTGCGTTTCGTCCATATCTCCGATACTCATCACCATCACAAGAATGTGTACTTGCCACCTGGAGAGGTACTGCTTCATACAGGAGACCTGGTGGGCAACTATGGAGACAGGGACATCTTTAAGCACCTAGCAGATTTCGTGGAGTGGCTCTTCAAAATCAGCGAACGCTTCAGGCTGATCGTAGTAATAGCTGGGAACCACGACACCTTACTGGATGAGAAGAGATACCCGAGAGATGCGGCGAGAGCTAAGAAGCCCTTTCTCGAAAGTCTGCCAGGCAATGTTGTATACTTGGAGAACACTCTTGTAGAATACCAGGGGTTGAAGATTTGGGGAAGTCCAACGGTCAGTTGCCGGGAAGAAACCCTCGGCAAGCGGTACCTGAGCAATGCTTTCGAGCGGCCTCGGGCAGAACGGCAGCAGATCTGGTCAAAGATACCAGAAGGCCTGGATGTGTTAATGACCCACACACCTCCCCATCAGATTCGCTCGCAGGACTGCGGCTGTGAGTTGCTACTGAAGCGATTGGAGCAGCTCAGCGAGCCCCCGCGCTTTCACTGCTTCGGACACGACCACGACTTCTTCGGAGTGGAGGCGAAGGGCAGGACCATCTTCATCAACGGCGCCCTCGAGGAGGTGCGGCGGATGGATCCTGGCAGAGCAGCCCAGCTCTGTGGCTGGGTCTTCGACCTGCCCCGCAAAGACACGGATGCTTTCATGCGCATGGCTAGCAACGACTAGCACTGAAGAAAGGAGGGGCCAAACTGCGTTCTCGACTCTTCTGAAGCAAGCCGTCTTGACTCGTCTTGATAGGGTCAAAGGCCTGAGTTGGTGCCCCTGAGCCAGGTCTGGGAACGGTCAGCCCTGCTTCCATATGTCCCTGCCTCAGCATGGGCCCATATAGGTACAGATGTTGGTGCATATATTGGTACATATGTTGGTACATATTTTGGTGCATACTCCTGCTGGAGTGTCGGCCGAGTTGCAGGCTGGAACGCCGGAGAAGCTCGAGTCACAGGCTCTTCCAGTGATGGGAACCCATGAGCATCGTCAAGCAGCGTGAAGCCGCGACTGGCAGGACTTCTGGAAGCCTCACGAGCAAATGCTCGTTGGCCGCGTGCCCAGACCCCTCGACCGTTAGGCTCCCGCCTCTCTCTCGCCTCCCTCCAGTCTCCTGTGTGTTGCTTGATGCTGCGCAAGGAATGGCCGTTCTTCCCGGAGGTCATTTTGTGGCAACTGCGTGCCCACGGGAGATCCGTGGTTGGGCAGCGCCCTCGGCGCTGTAGAGTCTCCGAGAGCACTGTGCACTTGGAACGCCTTGCGACCTCGCAAGTTCCCATGTCTTGCACACCCCAGGCATGGCCCGCAGACCGGAAAGGAGCTTCGCCAGGGGCACAGCTCATCACGCCTCCCATGGACCCACACCGTGGAAAGCGGGCATAGGCAGGCAGGCGTTGCAGTGTGCATTTCGGAGGCCGCATCTGCTCTGGACCGTGTCCACTTCGCTGCCCAACATCAAGGGGGCTTGCTGCGAGGCCCACAAGCTACGCAATGAGAAAGTGTATTGACCCGTTCTTAGGCGTCACGTCCTCTTTTGGGAGGTGACGTCCTTGTTGTGGCTCCCGTCGCCTGTCACAGCTGGTCGTGGCGGGCCCCAGAGATGCTGAGCAAAAGCTGTTCCTCAAACGGCTGGATACCCAAAGTAAGAGGCTACACCCCCAAAATAGGAAGCTTTCGCCCATAACTCTAGTCTACTGGCTTTCAAGGTTTGCGTTCAATCTTCCTCTACAAGTGGCGAACGCAAAAGCCGAGGCCTGGCTGTCCTTGGCGAGTGCGACGGGTCGCTGGTGATCTGCGAGCTGCAGCTCTGCGGGGAGCCCACAAGCACATGCGTAGCGGCTGCGCAGCTCCGAGTGCAAACCCGAGAGCCCGACAATACCCTAAACCCTAAACCCGAAGCCCTAAACCCTAAACCCTAAACCCTAAGCCCTAAACCTTCAGAGGGGGTTTGGCCGAGGCGCTTCGTTTGTGGAGGCGCCGGGTCTGGCGAGCGCGTCGGAGCCTTGGAGGGAGCGCCCGAAGACAAGGCCATTTAATTCAAGGGTTGCTTCCCCAAATAGCATCCTGTTCGGGGGCCTCCTGCAAAAAAGATTAATGCAGGCATTCATCGAGGCCGTCACATCGGTGTGAGTTTCTTTCGTGGCACACCAAACCTAAGCCCTAGACCTCGCACCCCAAGCTGCAAGCATTCCTCCATGCACGGGTCTGGGACGATATGCCCATTGGGTCAGATAGCTTCCGTAGCTTCCCAATGACCCTCTGGCGGCTGTAGGGCCCCTAGCAGTGGGTGGAGGATAGAGGCTGAGGGTTTGGCGTTTCGGGTCGCTTCGTTGTGAGGATAGCTTCCCCCCAGGTTCCACTTCCCCGGCTCTTCACAAGCAGCCACCGCCGTGGGATTCTCAGATGACCGGTGGTCAAGGGCGAGGTGAGGAGAGGGATTGAGGGATTGCATGTACCAACAAAAGGGCCGCAGGTACATATTAGGGGATCCTTTTTGAAGTACAGTAAGCCTCAAAAAGTTGGAACATCCTTATCCTCATACCCCAAAAGGTGTACTAAATGGAATCCCAGCCCAAACCAGAGTTTACCGTATGAACTCCTCCCCTACTCCCCCCCCCCCGCTTTGAGAACCAGTAGCGAAGGCTGGGTCGGCGCAGCCTCTCTCTCTTGCAGGTTCCGCCGTCTGGACCGGGCGAGCTAACCGTCTGGTCCGAGGTGGGACATGAACCCGGGAGTTGCCAAGGCCTAGTTTCGGGGGGGGGTCGCGCGGGAGCACTTCTCCAGGCTGGGTGGTTCTCGTTCTTCGGTGGACAGCCCGGGAACCCGGAACCCAGCCAAAAATCACCTTTGCGACCTTGAACCGCTAAAGAACCTCTTAACCCTAAACCCTAGGAACCCTCTGAACCCTCTGAGGCTGAGGGCCAGCATCGAGGAGTCCGGGGCCATGGACGCGATCTCTTCGACGTGCTATGGGCCGCTTGCGGCCCTCCCCAGGTTCTTCTAATCCCAGGCCCCAGGGCGCCTTGCCCTGAGGTCTGGTCCTAAGCAGGCTCTCCATGGCTCTCCCCAAGCTCAAGGAACTCGGCGACCGGGAAGGTGCCCATGCCGGAGTTCGAACTACCGCGCGGCTCCATTCGTCCAGCATGATGCCATGGGCCGGGGCTCATGGCCAGGGGATGATCCGCATGAGCCGGAGGTTCCGGATGTTCGAGTCCAGGTACCCGCAAGGCTCAGTCCCTGTTCTGGATGAACGGTGGCCAACGTCCGAAGTGGTCCGAGGTGGTTCGATGATGTTCGGCGTGTTCACCCCGTAACGGTAGAGGTGCTTCATCCCCACAGTGCTCGTGGACTTGCCTTTAGCCATTCCCCCCACCCCGCATACATCGAGAACTGCGTGAACCTACTATGGAGGAGAGGGAAAGAGCAGGAGTCCAAGGATAGTAAACAGGCGCCTTAGGACAGCCGGTGCATCGTCATGGGAGAGCCCTTCGCAGAACCTGGCCAAGCCTGCTGGTGCTGCACCTTCGCCTGCGAAACCCACGCAACGTTCAACGACATGGTGCATGTGGACATATGTGGGCGCCACCTCGGCCTCAGGCGTCGTGGGTCCATTGAAAACCAATCAGGAGTGTCGCGCCGCCTGCTTTCCCCCTGCGGGACCTTGTGGGGACATCCTCGCCCGTCAGCGCTGTCCCGAGTTCATCGTTAAACATGGGGTGGCTCCAACAACTGCTTCCTCGTCCCTCGTTGCAGCGAACGATGAGGCTACGATGTGCTTCGATCTATGCAGCGGACAGGAAGTGTCGTTGATGTGGCTTTCGCAAAGAGAGAGGGATGAAGAGGGCCTCACAGTAGAACACGGCCCCCGGTCGTCGCGTGTGATCCCAGGGCTAGTGGCTCGTCGTCTCGGTGTGAAAGTCTCCGGAGATGAAAAGGATGGGAAATTCGTGCTTCGTCGAGGTCTGCAGCCATGGCGACTCTGTCCGTGGTCATGCTGCCTTCCGGGTGCATGCGCCGGGAACAACCGGCAGAAACACGCCCAGCCACGAAGCATCTTCCAGCTCACCCTCGATGTTAGTAAGACCGTGAAGGGGATGATAGAGGCGGGTAAACACAAGATCAGTCACATTCGTCGTTTTCTTCGTTTTGTTTGTTCGCTCCTCTACGTCTTGCAGCCGGCCAAAGTGATTCAGAAGCGGTCCGGGACTCAGCCTCCACAGAGCCTGCCTGTGAGTCTGCTGCTGAGTTTGCTCTTCAATGCTCGTTTTTCGCTGAGGCTGGCATTCAAAAAGCCGGATGCGGGCATCGTCTTTGTGGAAAGCGGATGGCCATGGAAAAAATAAGGTAATCACAGGTTGTTCGACATGATGGACGCCATGTCCAGCATCGATCGGTCTTTTCAGGGCATCACAAAAAACATGCCAGTCCGACGTCATCGAAACAACTGGCGAGTTCGTGGTTAAACATGGCGTGGCTCCAACAACTGCTTCCTCGTCCCTCGTTGCAGTGAACGATGAGGCTACGATGTGCTTCGATCTCAGCAGCAGACAGGAAGTGTCGTTGATGTGGCTTTCGCAAAGAGCGAGGGATGAAGAGGGCCTCACAGTAGAACACGGCCCCGGTCGTCGCGTGTGATCCCAGGGCTAGTGGCTCGTCGTCTCGGTGTGAAAGCCTCCGGAGATGAAAAGGATGGCTTCGTCGTCGAGTACTGCAGCCATGGCGACTCTGTCCGTGGTCGCGTGATGCCGGTCTTGGGGCGATGCATGCGCCTGGAACAACCGGCGAGAACGCGCCCAGCCACGGAAGCAAGTAACTCCAGCACTGCAGAGACGCAACTTCCAGCTCACCCTCGATGTTAGTAATACCATGAAGGGATGATAGAGGCGGGTAAATACAAGATCAGTCACATTCGTCATGTTCGACTTTTTGTTTGTTCGCTCTACGTCTTGAAGCCGGCCAAAGTGATTCAGAAGTGGCCCGAGACTCAGCCTCCACAGAGCCTGCCCGCGAGTCTGCTGCTGAGTTTGCTCTTCAATGCTCGTTTTTCTCAGCGCTGAGGCTGGCATTCAAAAAGCCGGATGCGGGTATCGTATTTGTGGAAAGCGGATGGCCATGGAAAAAATAAGGTAATCACAGGTTGTTCGACATGATGGGCTCCATGTCCAGCATCGATCGGTCTTTTCAGGGCATCACCAAAAGAAACATGCCAGTCCGACATCATCGAAACAACTGGCGAGTTCGTGGTTAAACATGGCGTGGCTCCAACAACTGCTTCCTCGTCCCTCGTTGCAGTGAACGATGAGGCTACGATGTGCTGCGATCTATGCAGCGGACAGGAAGTGTCGTTGATGTGGCTTTCGCAAAGAGAGAGGGATGAAGAGGGCCTCACAGTAGAACACGGCCCCGGTCGTCGCGTGTGATCCCAGGGCTAGTGGCTCGTCGTCTCGGTGTGAAAGTCTCCGGAGATGAAAAAAGATGGGAAATTCGTGCTTCGTCGAGGTCTGCAGCCATGGCGACTCTGTCCGTGGTCGCGTGATGCCGGTCTTGGGGCGATGCATGCACCTGGAACAACTGGCGAGAACGCGCCCAGCCACGGAAGCAAGTAACTCCACCACTGCAAAGACGCAACTTCCAGCTCACCCTCGATGTTAGTAATACCATGAAGGGATGATAGAGGCGGGTAAATACAAGATCAGTCACATTCGTCATGTTCGACTTTTTGTTTGTTCGCTCTACGTCTTGAAGCCGGCCAAAGTGATTCAGAAGTGGCCCGAGACTCAGCCTCCACAGAGCCTGCCCGCGAGTCTGCTGCTGAGTTTGCTCTTGAATCCTCTTTGTTTGCAGCGCTGAGGCTGGCATACAAAAGCCGGATGCGGGCATCGTATTTGTGGAAAGCGGGCGGATGGCCATGGAAAAATAAGGTAATCACAGGTTGTTCGACATGATCGACTCCATGTCCAGCATCGATCGGTCTTTTCAGGGCATCACCAAAAGAAACATGCCAGTCCGACATCATCGAAACAACTGGCGAGTTCGTGGTTAAACATGGCGTGGCTCCAACAACTGCTTCCTCGTCCCTCGTTGCAGTGAACGATGAGGCTACGATGTGCTGCGATCTATGCAGCGGACAGGAAGTGTCGTTGATGTGGCTTTCGCAAAGAGAGAGGGATGAAGAGGGCCTCACAGTAGAACACGGCCCCGGTCGTCGCGTGTGATCCCAGGGCTAGTGGCTCGTCGTCTCGGTGTGAAAGTCTCCGGAGATGAAAAAGGATGGGAAATTCGTGCTTCGTCGAGTACTGCAGCCATGGCAACTCTGTCTGTTGCGGTGCGATGCCGGTTTTCGGGCGATGCTGCTTTCCGGATGCATGAGCCGAAACAACCGGCGAAAAAGCACCCAGCCACGGAAGCAAGAAACTCCACCACTGCAGAGACGCAACTTCCAGCTCTCCCTCGATGTTAGTAAGACCGTGAAGGGGATGATAGAGGTAGCGACATTCCACGGCTCAGTGACAGGTAAGATCGAGAAGTTCCAGGCGCTCCCGTGGTCACCGCGGCCTCTCAGCAACCCTTTCAGATCATAGTCATTTGCGTCGTTTTCTACTTTGTTGTGTTTGGTCGGTCTTCTATTTCTTGAAGCTCGGGCTGGTGGAAGCGATACAGAGATGGCCCGAGACTCAGTTTGCAGCTGACGTGCCTAGCGAGTCTAGCGTTTTGGATGCCTTGAGGTTTTTGAAGTCGGGTTCTGAAAAGTGTTGTTCTCTGAGGCTATGGAAAAGGCAGATGTGGACATGGCGGAACGTGGACGTGACTGACCCATAAGAGAGTAACACTGTACTACACTAGTTGCTACTGTACTTGAGCATACTTACGGTAAAGCATTTGTAAGCTTTTTCAGATGTCCTGCTACAAGCCTCACGACGACCCTGGCAACAGCAGTGCCACCGATCACGCCGCAGCCTCAGCTGCTTGCATAGCTTCTGGGCTAGACTGTGTATGTACATGCGTATGTGTATGTGTATATTGAGATATGTTTATGTGTATACAATATATTCTTCTATACATACGTACATATACATACATGTATGTATGTATGTACGTACGTACGTATGTATCTATGTATGTATGCATGTATGTATGCATGCACGCATGTGTGATGTACTTTTATATACAACATATCTGGTCATGTTGTAGATACAGTCTGTCGTGCGGGTGAGGTGTCGGACGTTTCCTTTGCCGTGCTTGCCTGAGAGCGGCGCTCAGCACCATAGAAGAGTGGAGCAGGCATGCGCGGTGTCAAAGCGTAAGATCTTGTGGAGCTTCTGTGGAGCGGCCGCTTGTTGCACAAACGCCATGCTTGACAAGTGCATCGGCCACCCTTTCTTCGTCTCTTCTGGTTCACCTGCGATATGAAAGTCTTTTAAAAGCTTTTAAAGCCTGAGCACTCTCTTCTTCCACAGAATTGCATGCTGCATACGCATGCATACGCCTTAGCTTCTCAGACACATCAAGCTCCAGCGACCTCATCAACACCTCACTGCGGTGCGTTTTCAAAAAGGGGTCCGAGAACAGCAGAGCAAACACATGCGAAGTAGCCAGCCGACCAACAGCATCACACGTGGTGCGGCCACAGATGGGCGCTGCAGCGCCGCCCGCTTAGCAAACGCCAGCCGGGGATGCATGGGCGGAAGTCATGCAGATAGTGATTTAGGGTTTAGGGTTTAGGGTTTAGGGTTTAGGGTTTAGGGGTGAAGGAAGACCACACCCTGCGGCTCAGGACAAAAGCTGGCGGTGAGTTGGGGCTTCTGCCCAGAGCTGGCGGGGGCCAAGCTGCGATGGCACATGATGGCACACAGAAACCAGTGCTGGCCCGCAGTTTCCAGGCTGCTGCGGTGCTCGTGCGATCGCCACAAGCTCCTTGTGCTACAATGTGCCGCCCTCGGCCCTCGGCAATGCAGTGCTTTGTGCTGCTTGGCGATTGGTTTCTTCTCTGAGTCTCTCGGATCGGAGCATTCGGAGCCAGGAGTTCCTCAACATTCAGCTGGGAAAGCTGGAGGAACAGGATCAGGAGTATGATTCCGCGTACCTGTACCAACAGCAGGTGCGGGCGGTCTCTCAACAGGTCTCTGCCTTCTTCTGCGCATTTTGCCGACTGCAGGTGAAGTTGGGCAACGGCCTCCAAGCCCCCAAGCCGCGCCCCCAGAGGTTCGCTGCAGACGAGAGACCTTGGACAAGAGCACGCATCCGAATAATATTGGAGAGCGTGATCACTTTTCTCTCTTCTTCCTCTCACTCATTTCGTCCATGCATTCGCTCATGCGTTTCATGCGTCCCGTATGCACGTATTCACTTCATGTATTCACTTATTTGTTGAGTGAGTGATCAATGATGTAGTTTATGAGCCCCTATTACAGTAATACTTTTCATTAAGGGACTCTGCAATATGATTATTAATGTGTATCGCGGGCTCACTGAAAGATTTCTATACACCCGCGAGTGAAATTCAAAAGGATTTCATACGAACGCTGCGATCTTGCAATAAACGAGGGCTTTTGGACAAGAAACCAATGCATTTATTGGGTTTTGACTGGTGTCTTGTGATGGAGCGAACAAAACCGCCTATTAACACCATCTCAGAGAGTTGTATTCCAAGAGTGTACGAAGTGTGTGCAATAACCGTAAATAAGACCTTAGTGATTATGTTATGAGTGCATGAGCGAATGACATGAACACGCTTATAAAAAAGTAAATCGTAAGTTGTTGCATAAGCCCCAGGAAAAAGAGAACAGGGAGGTGAACAAGGATACGATAATAAAGAGAAGAGAGAAAGGCATACAATAAAGGCGTGCAGCATAATATATTTAAGCAAATGCACGCCGTAATAATAACAGAAGTCAAGTGAAAGACATGAAGGTAGATATTAAACGCGCTCTTTCACTAGTCGTTTGTGATGAAAAGTTGATTGTGAAAGGTTGAACCCCCCCCCCCCAAAGAAGCCTAGCAATAAAAACCCAACCAAACCCTTCAATCTCCTTGTGCCCAAAAAAGGCCCTGCAAACCTCAGCCAAGCCCCTTCAAACCAATTTCCCCCCCCCCCCCCCCCCCCCAAACACCCAAACCCTCAAGTCCTCGAGACGAGGTACACCATCCTGTACCAGCGGACGGAGCGGGCCGCGGAGGCTGTCGCCGGGCTTCGGGTGTGGCAGTGTTGAGTGGTTTTGGTTCCATTGATATTTTTTTCTGGGGGGGGGGGAGCTTAGGGTTCATGGTTTAGGCAGGTCAGGACTTCAGGGCCACTTTCGGGGCCAAGATCTTCAGACTTGCTGCCGCGACTTGCTATCGCATTTTGCGGGCCCGGAGGCGCCTCCGCGCGAGTCGGGCATGCGAGTGGTGGTGCCGCAGAAGGTCCTCTGCCCCATTAGAGCCGCAAAGATGCTAAGATGCTCGCGCGCCGCGAACGTGGCCTTCTGCTGAGGTTCGGCGCCTACTACAGCTGGACTGGGGTCCTGATGGGCTGGCCTGGGAAGAGCCTCGTTCCTATGCCTTCTCATGCCCCCGCTTGAAGAGCCCAGTCATGCCCCGAGTTCTCCAAGGCCCGAGTCGCGCCTCCCCGACTCCATGCTGATTCAGTCTAAGGCCGCAAGCTGTCAGGTTCGAAGAAGTTCGAAGAGATACGGGCTCTAGGATGGTTTTGCTACTGTATCCACGGTCAGAAAATACCCTACGCAGGGACTGACAAGACTACTGGCGGGTTCCAAGCTATGAAGGTCTTCGACCACCCGCTGAGACCTTCCGAGCTGCTCCAACAGCTGACGGAGGCCACGCTGTGTGCCACCGCAGTCCAACACACACAAGAGCAGGTGATCGCAGAGGCCCTTACAGTGGTATCGAGTGGGCGTTTACGCAAAGGACCCCTGTTGCTAAGGACCCCAATAAGGTACCCCTTTGGGATCTTCAGCATTCATCTAGCACCACTTACTCGGGGGTTTCCGAAATTACTGCTGAAGATCCGAACAGCCCTGGGCCAAGGTGCAGCACAAGGCCTTCGACCGTGATGAGTGGGCTTCCTTCAACTTCTGCTACCACATGATTGGTCAGGCTAGCTTCAGCGTGCCTCAGCAGGGTGTGGTATGGTCAGTACGCAAGCTGAATCAACCTGCCTGTCTGTCAGACTTCTGGCAAAGCCTACCACTACAGGTGCCGCCGCCGATGCTTTTGAGTGTTCACGAGTAGCTGTGATTGCTTTGCTGCTTTGAAGAGACGCGAGAAGTATGGCAGATGATGCTGTGTTCGACACGAAGTGAAGTGGCATTGATTGCGCAGAAGCGGCGTTCGACCGCACGGCAAAATGGGAGCGTCAGGCTTCTTCAGCATCTTCAT